TAGAGCGCTATTACGCCTCTAACCTCTAACCCCGGAAGCGTGTGACGTATATGGCATTATGACACAAATAGTGTACAAGGATAGTGGCGGGAAAGACACCGGTGAGGGCATATGAAACTGCGCCTTCCCCATCACTGCGTTTAACGCCATTTTATTTTCTTCTTCTTCTCTTCTGATTCATAGAACCGATGCCACACTTCCTTATCCAGCACGATTTGAGGCAGCTTTTTGAACAACCCAAACCATGAAATACAACCTTCCCCAACTCTCCTTCAAACGATCGCCTCCATGACATTTTAAATCTCTCCTACCCCGTCCCTCTCCTCATTCCAAATGAGCTCCGCTCCTGCCTAGTAATGTAATTAGCTGTCTTTGTAAGGGTGGGCCTTATCCACCCCACCTTTACTTTTTTTTTCTTACTATGCTAGCCTGCACACCTCCCATTGATGAAGATTTACAGATGGGTCAAGCCCAGTGTTTCTTCCAGACTTTTTTCTCCGGGGGGGGGCACTTGAAATCTTCGGGGGGGCGGTAAACTTTCTTCGGGGGGGGCGGACACTGTTAAAATTATATATTTTCTATATAAATTATATAAATTCCATTTCGTTCGGGGGGGGCGGTAAAAAATTTTCGGGGGGGCTTCGCCCCCCCCCCCCCCCCGAAGAGATGCCTGGAAGAAACTCTGGCAAGCCAATGCGCTTCCATTGTAGTCATTAATACTCGATTTTAGTCACATAAAATATCCTCTCTATCCCAAATCCCACCTCATATCTAAACCCCTAATCCCAAACCTATTCATCAATCACATAAACCCTTATCTATTCCCAGCCCCACAATCACATAAACCACAATCCCCAACCCCACTACCAGTGTTTCTTCAAGAATTTTTTCTCCTGGGTGGGGGGGGGGGGGGGGCAGACTAAAATTTCAGTTTCCGGGCGGGGGCGGCGGAAACTTATAAACTCCATTTCGTTCGAGGGGGCGGTAGACTTTCTTCGGGGGGGGAGGAGCTGCGCAAAATGTGCCCACTACCTATCAAAAAACCCTAGCCCCAGCCTTACTCTATCCTTCGAACCTCTACCTCTAAACCCAAACCCCTATCCCCAGCCCCTCTAACACAAACCCCTACCCCCAGCCCCATAAACCCTACCCCCAACCCTACTCTATCATTGATATTTTCAGCCACACAATGACGAAACATGGACTACTGTAACCTTGAAAAACAAATTATTGCACGCTAGGCTTAACAATTACGTCGCTTTGGTTGCAACATATGTGATATTACGATCTAGACCGTCTACATAGTTTTGATTGCAGCATTTGTGATGTTACTATCTAGATCGAGATTGTCTAGATGTACGTTGTAGTGATTGCAGCATTTGTCATGGTACGATCTAAATCTAGATCGTCTAATTTGATTGCAGCATTTGTCATGTTTAGATCTAGATATAGACGTAGACCATCTACGTTGTTTTGACTGTAGCATTTATCATGTTAATTAATTAAGATTTAGCACCGACGTTGTAATCAGCTAAATCAGTACCAAGCGGCACTCTTTAAAACGGTTCAGAGAGTGAATGTGTATAAAACCAAAGATCTTCAGACTCTAGACTTTAAAATTGTTTAGATAAACTCTTCAGGATCTAGACTTACAAACTGTTGCAAGTTTAGATGCTCTCTTCTGACTCTAGATGTTTAAACTAATGTATATTTAAAACCACCGTCATCTTATTAAGGTGGAGAACTTTTACCCTCCGTGAGTGATGTATCTGTTGTAGTTAAATATTAAGAGAACACCGGACACTATATTTTTATCAACATTTAGAGTAAGGACATGATGTTTCCCTCGGAAATTTTAAAACGATGAAGAACTAATTAAGTAATGATCTTTTCGTTATTCCTGAGATTTGTGTGTGATTGTTCCGTTGTTCTTGTGTCTATGGCAGTGGCGTAGCCAGGATCGTCTCAAGGGGGGGTCCAATTTTTACCCGTGGACAAACTTTCGATTTGCATCCCCCCCTTATACTTTATATATATATACCGAGGGGTCTATGGGGGGGGGGGTATGACCCCCCTAACCCCCCTGCCTACGCCACTGTTCTATGGTTACTATCAAGGAAGTTTATTTATTTTTTAAACTAGGGAGATTGACCTTTATTTTGGTTGAATTGTAGAGCGTACGATTGCTTATCCGAAAGCCTGGAGTTCGCATCCCGCGATCCAGTCAATACGACGTCCACCCAGCTCTGATGGGTACCTGACTCTAAAGAAAGTAAAGTACTGACTATACTTATGCCGTGGTTACTGAAAAATGTGAAATCTACTTCGCTTGCCCCATGGACCGAAAGCTTCGAAGGGTACTTTACTTTTTTATAGAATGGTGGATTTGTTTTGTTTCACATGCATGTCCTCTTTGTTTCGCTTTGACAGCGTTCAAGACTCACTTCGATCCAGGATCTTGTTATCATGCAATATGCAGTGAAATTACAGAGCACAAAAGTACATGCTAGTGTGTGTCTGTACGTGTGTGTGTGTGTATGTGTGTGTGTGTACCGTAGCAACTAAGCCTAATACAGCTTGATTTACTTGGTTTATTCCCTTGTATACTCTAATGATATTATCGTCACATTTCTAACAGATCAATTAGGAAAAAAAATATTCTTACTAACAAGCGAAAACTGGGTAATGACTTCTTGTAGATGTCAAGTTGGAAGACAAGCCTTTCGAGACGATAACCAAGGCCGCGAGGGGAGAGAAGCATTGGGAAAACAAACAAAGCAGGGAGTGAAATATTTTATTCTTTATTCTCTTAATTAATGGACTTCCTGATTTTATCGACTGTGAGGGTAATAATTAGGGGGAAAAACACATTAATATTTGACGTGGTGGAAAAAAAAGGCTACAAACTACAAAATTCTACCTTCTGTAACTTGGATAAGTGAATCTCTTTATTCGCGACTCAACACTACCGAACGCATTCGCCAGTCGATAGTTCTTTGCCATTATCTGGGTGCGTTCAACTTACGTTAATCACAGACGGTGGGATTTCGGCTCTCTAGGTCTAAGGTCTATTAATATCTGGCACTCCGGGTATGGAATACATTCCTCTAAAATATCGTACAAAGCTTAGTTAGAATTATTTAGAGATGATAAATATATTTATATCCTTACTGTAATAAATTATGCAGAAAAAATTCTACTACTAGGGGTTTAGTATTAGCATCAGCTGGAGGGTAACACCTCTATTTCTCCCCTTTCTCGACCTCGCGACTTGATTCAAACGAAAATAAATGCAATGCTATTTTTTATTGTTACCAAGATTGTACAGGTCAAAGGTGACGGGCGGTTGGGTTATTTATAGCCTGAACGCCATCAATATATCTTTGTTACGTCAGTGTTTTTGTTACCAGGCTAAAATCAAGTTTAAATTAATGTAAGCAAGTATTTTTATACAACCTTTGATAGATCTACATCAAATTAGTTTTGCTCTAATGAGAGAGATAGAGCATAATTGCTTACTGTATCTGTGTAATGTTATTTTCAGATCACTCATCACATTATGCTATCATGATTATCGCAAAAAAAAATATTATTAGTTTTACAAACGCAACATGAAATATACCATGATATAGACTAAAGTATACAATAACTTAGTTTCAACCATGATCTCCATACAACCAAAAACTTAAAAGCTAAATTCTATATCAGCCGTCTTGTCATCTGGTTAGAGCAGTCTTTAGATTATAACAAACATTTTTGTAGCTGATTGGAACTGGCTGTTGATTTCTGTTTTTTGACGGCCGTTTGCCTGATTCACAGTCTGGAATGTTAACATGTCATTTAACTGCTCCTGAGATGTTTTGATAAGATTAAAGACAGAATCGTTTAGTTAGCCTCATTGACATGGTCCGCTACATTCAATTTATAAACAAATAATTCGTAGAGAAAGAAAATATCAAGTCTCTTGGAAACATCTTGGTAATTTTTAAAGAATCTTTTAACTAATCACTCTATCTTATTGTAGTAAAAATAAATTTATATATTACTTTATATATATATATATATATATATATATATATATATATATATATATATATATATATATATATATATATATATATATATATATATATATATAACATCTATATCTGTAGTCACTTATTTAATTTTTAAAAAATGTATAAACTGCTATACGTGCTAGTACTATTACTTCCTTAGTGATAGGCTTTGTCGTTTTCGCATCCTGAGCCTACCCACCAGTCGCCCACTTGCGAAATATGTGCGGTGTGTTTTGACAAAAGGAGAGAAGGGAAAAGGGACTACTGTAAAACGCTCAAATCACGTTGTTTATATTTATCACCATTGTGAATGTATCTGTTTGAGTAAATAATAAGTTTCGATCATTTAGTTAACATACGGTTTACCCTACCTATTTGAATATCTAAATGGGGTTCAAAATTTTAATAGTAAGAATACTGTTAAATTGGAATACGTGTGTAGAAGCATATCTCTCGCTACACATCACTAAAAATTAAAATAACACATAGCTCTACAAATCTTAAAATTTCAGATTTATTAAAGGTAAAATGAAAAAGTCTGCAAAATAAAACATTTGAATATGTTAAGTTTATACATTGAACAGTGGAATTGGCTTTATTAATAATATTTTGTTTGGATTTATTGAGTCGAGTATCATCAGTAGTTTACAGTAAATGCCTGATGCCATTTCCTGATTGATATGCGGGGATCCACCAAAATAGTGTGTACAGTTTTTTAATTCGTTAAGCAATTTTATAATCCTCAATATTCAAATTAATTTTTGAAGATTTTCGACTATAACTAAAATGTATATAAAGAAAGGTTGAATATATCATTCACGTTCGTTGTTTTTAAAAATCAGTTGGTTTGCATTCGTTTGATACAACTAAGCCCTCCCTTCCCATAATATTGGCCAATGAAAACAATTTTTGCTATGAGGTCACGTGTGCAAATTTCGTGGCGTGCTGGCTGCTACTTGAAGCAGTCAGTCTAGCTGCGTCAATCAGAGAGGGAGGGTATTGTCGCATTATAGCGAAAAATCCGCTTTTATACGCGGCCGGTACCCAATTAAGGGTCAAAATAGTGCTGACTGACCGTAATGACTATCATTCTTTTTCTTGTAGACACTAGTGCGTCTATGAATCAGCGTACTTATTTGGGAACGGCTTTAATTGATGTAGCAAAAGCAGCAGTTGAAAATTTTATGAAGGTAAACAAATAAAACGATTCAAAAACATCACAACAAACATTAAGTATTTATAGACTTTAATAGTTTATTGAAAAAATATCAGGTCAGTGATACTTTTTCCTTTTATTTCTTTTTCTTTTAGAGCCGATCCCGCGATGGGAGCAGTCGATGGGACCGTTACATGCTCCTGACATTCGAAGACCCACCAGCGAATGTGAAGGTAAAGCGAAACGTCGTAGATTCCGGGTGACAAATGTCGGTCATTTCGAAGATTTGATTAAAAGCCCTTAAGACTGTTCCCTATTTTCCACCCAGTTGCATGTTATAATCTTCTATGGCTGTTTTTTTTACTAAGCTATTTTGTCGGTTTACTATGGTGGTCGCCATTTTGCCCTCAAATAGAGGGATGATGGGAAGGGTTAAATCTTCACCCAGCAACGAGGCCAAGTGTGTAGCACAGGTTATAGGTCATGTGTGGTGTGCAGTGTGTACAACCGATGGATTTTTCCCATTCTGCCTTCACTTATGTCCCTTTGTACAGCGAAGCTATAAAAAGTATGGCATATTTATTGGAAATGCCTTTGATTTTCTGCCAATTATTTTTCCCAATATGGAATTTCTTGATAGTGAATCAGATAGAAAATGCTAGGTGATAAAATCATTGGGCTTAATATTTTATTTAATAGTTTTATTTTTGTTGTATAAAACTTCTTGAACCTTTAAAATCTTCAGCTAGCATCCAGCACAAAATTTTAATTATGACATCTCATTTGACCTGCTTAAATTAACATTGGACCAACTTCATTGTAATAAAATAAACTAGTTGATAAAGTCACATTAACTTAAACTTTTGAGTTTATTCAGACTAGATTTAATTGTAGTAGGCCTAATACTATACTTTTACTATACTAATACTTCAGGGTTAGGATGAAATTATCTGCTGTTGGTCTTATTGAATATTGATAATTCAGTTTTTTTGTTTTTTTAATTAAATTTCATCTTTATAGTATGTACATTATATATAAACTTTATTTTTCTAGGCTGGTTGGAAAGAGAGTCATATGACATTTGCCTCAGAGCTGAAAAATTTGCGAGCTTCTGGCTTATCAACACTTGGGCCTTCATTAAAGCATGCCTTTGATTTGCTCAATTTAAACAGAATGACCAGTGGTATTGACACTTATGGACAGGTAGAACCCACTGCTTAACCCAACAATTTCTCCTCACGTTTCAACCTCTTACTGATGTGTAATGTAATTATTTTTTTCTATTATAAGGGGAGGAGTCCATTTTACAATGAATCTACCATAATTATTGTGATTACTGATGGTGGACATCTTACAACTACTTCTGGAATCCAGACAGAGGTAGGCAATTAGAATAATAGTAAGTAAAATTGTTTTTTGTTGTTCATCAACTGTATTTACAATTTTTTCCTTTTTTGTTTTCAGTTAAATTTACCCATGAACTCTGTGGTGCCAGGGGCCGAGCTGACCAAGGAGCCATTTAGGTGGGATCAGAGAATCTTTAGCCTTGTTATGCGTCTACCTGCAAGTGTTCCGCCTGATGTCTCAGCATTTCCATTCATACCATCTGCTGAGAACACAGCCATTGATGTGATGTGTGAGGTCACTGGGGGTGTGTACACATTTCTCATGTTTGGATATATTACAGAAATACTTTGTTCTTGATCCTGTATAGGTTTTTTTTTTGTTTACACCCAGGTTGTTGTTCCCATTGTTTTCTAATGACTTGACGATGCAATAATACTTCTCAATACAAAAGTCTGTTTCATCTCTAGGTCGTTCCTATGCTGTATACAGCCAGAAAATGTTAAATGCTGCTATAGAATCTCTGGTGCAGAAGGTACAGTGTGGTGTTGTCATCAATTTTGAAAAGTTTGGACCTGATCCTCCTCCAGTCACTGACTCTAGTAGAATGGAACCAGATTCCAATGGCAATGCTAAAGGTTGGGTGCCCTTTCATATTTTAATAGCTTTATTTTTGTATTGAAGTGACACTTGAGCTCATTTGGATGCATTTGTAACCTCATTCTTTAGATTTAACTTGACTCATTGTGTATAACCTCTTTTCTTCAGAGAACTTGGATACTAATAAACCCATCATGTTTGATGACCTTGAAGACAAGAAGTCTATGAATCACCTAGGCATTAATGGTCATCATCAACAGAGTCAAGCCTGGCATAGCTGTAGGAAACTTATTTACGTTCCACGGTCTGCTCAGAAGGGCCATTGTACAGGCCATTGGCCTATCCCAGAAGGTTATTGGCCTGATGTTTCAAGCCCGGCTTTGGTAAGTTGTAATCCCTGTTGAACACTTTCAGTCAATCTGAATACCAACATACTAGTTACCTGTTGTGTCAACTTGTTGAAGAGTATCTTTTTTTCCCCCAGCCTCCCCGTAATGCGCATCCAGTGGTTCAGTTTTCTTGCCAGCCTTCTGATCCACTTGTTATAGAGAACTTGCCATTTGACAAATATGAACTGGAGCCATCCCCACTTACCCAGTACATCTTGGAGAGGAGGCAGCCCAACACATCCTGGCAGGTGAGTTGTATAGCCAGCCAGCTGTACCATTGCAGAACCAAAGTAGCAGGCTAGGTCACAGTTTAAATGAATGCTTTTCTTGTTTGCAGGTGTTTGTGGCCAACAGCAGTAAATTCAGTGAAATGTGCCACCCTTTTGGATACTTAAAAGCCAGCAGCTCCTTGACAGCTGTCAACCTGTTTGTTATGCCTTACAATTATCCTGTGTTGCTACCCCTTTTAGGTGAGTAGACGTTATAGCTTTCATTATTTATATATTTTTTTTAAAAGTCACTTTAATTATAATGCTTTGATTTAATTTGATTTTTTTACATTTTCAGATGAGCTTTTTAAAGTTCACAATTTGAAACCAAACCAACCTTGGAGGCAGAGGTTTGAAAACTATTTGAAGACAATGCCTGGTTACTATGCCCCGGTACGTTAATCCCTACAGTTCATATATTATGTTGCTAACTGTTACTATTTCTTGTCTGAAATGTTAAATCTAATAATGCTGTATTAATCTTCAGAACCTGAGGAGAGCATTAGCGAGGATGGGGGCACCAAACCTGGTTTCTGACAATATGGACAACTGCCTTAGCTACAGTGTGATAACATACCTCAAGAAGTTAAAAAATCAGGTATGTTGATTTCTTTCTTTAGTATGATACATCTTTTCTAAATAAATGATGGATACTTATTTTTATAATCATTGTGATCTTTGACAGGCTAGGATAGAGATGGATAGATTGAATGCATCTATTGGTCAAAAGCCACCTAGACATGAGGGGATGAGAGTCAATACAAGGTTTGTTTTATCTGGTTAAATCTAAATTTTAGTTTTGTAATGGTCAAAAGACAATACTGATTGTATGGTCAGTTGTTATAATAATTACCATAATCTCAGGTTTGAGTAAAAGGCAAGATAACCATTGGCTAATATTTTTTCTCAGGAGCAAAACATCAATCCTACAGAGGAAAGATTTCAACCAATTGTTGGCCAACCTTGGTGGCAACATTGCAAGTCTGAAGCAAGAGCTCCAGCAGGACTACAGTGGGTTTACTTTAGCTGTAGCTGATCCAGAAATCAAACCACAATTTTATAGGTCTGTTTGCTACTGTGAAATTTTAGGTATACTACATTCCTGGTAGTGATCCAGTTTTTTAATTATTTTTTTTGTTTTGTTTCTAGAAATCCATATGATATACCACGCAAAAGCCTTATAGATCAAATAAGTCGGATGAAGAACAATTTCCTCAGGACTTCCATTAATTCTGAATCTCTAATTGACCTTGGTATGTATTAATATAAATATTAAGCTCTATATTTTAATTTAAGCTGTAGTTTAGTTATTTGTTTTATTTTCTTATTAAAAAGTATGAGTATTTATTTAAAAGTCTTATGTTTTGTTTAACTCTAATTATGCAGATGAAAGACATAGAGTTGCCATAGGTCAGATGGGTAATTACCAAGAAGTTTTGAAGAAACAGCCGCCTGCTTTAAGAGAACTAGAAAGCACACCCACCAGGTTACACATGTTTGGTAACCCTTTCAAGGTCAATAAACAGGTACAATATGACTGGTCTCTATTTTGTAGAAATGTAATTTAAAATTTGTAATAATTTAGTGTATGCTAATAAATTACTTTTTCTTAGCTCACTGTTGATGAAGCAGAAGAAGCTATTGTAATAGGAAGTTCTCCAAGAAAAAGAGCAGCATCTGAAACTCCCCCCAATTCACCACACAGAAAACGCAAGCCTGGTGGGTCTATCTTTTCAAGCATGTTATTTCTATGGATGATTGTTTTATAAATTGTATGCACCTCAACTTTTCACATCTTAATTTACAGGTCCATTACCCCGTGACATACCATATCGTCGTCCTTCCACATCCTCAATCACACCTCCAGCTAGTCCTGCAGCTTCTGTTGTCTCAGATTCTGACTTTGAATCAGGTGTGTATCAACTTGTTTGTCTGACATTTCATCTAAAAAATCATCACATATTTGACATTTCATCTAAAAAATTCATCACATATTTGAGTACTAATTGACTCACTATTTCTTCCAGATGAAACGCCACTTCAGATAATCACAGATTCTGACGATGAGGCTGGTAGCTTAGGTAGTGACGGTGAAGAGAGTTCCTCTGTGTTTAACCACATGGCCTCAACACCTCCAGTGGCCAGTGCTCCCAGTGAGAATGGTCACTCTGACTCCAATAGAGTAACAGGCAGTGGTGACAATTTACATAACAGACTGACTGACACATTGACTGAAGCATTTATAGGCAATAAAAAAGATCAGCAGATCTGGATCTTCAACAAGCATCTGAAGGTCATGATCACTAAAGAAGTTAAAAAACCAGGAAGAAGTAAGAATTTCTAGTTTGTTTACCACGGTTAAGTTTGACATTAGTTTAGTCTTATACTTAGCATTTAATATTTTGTTGCCTGTATTGATAATTTCTTTTTTATTCTCTTCCTCCCTATTCTCCCCCACGCCTTCATCTTCTGCCTTCCAGGGTTTGACAGGTTGTTTGAGCTGCTGAACACATTGCAGGGGAGTCCAAAGGTCCAGACAGATTTTATACGCGACGTCATTAATGAGGCACACAGATTTAAAAGAAAGGCCCTCGCAGAAGACTTAGAAAATTACATTCAGATGCTACACAATCGCAACAATAACAAACTCAATAAGTACCCCAGTAAAACACCATTTAGCTGATACACAGGCAAAGCTAACACAAACGTCTCTAGCCTTAAAGAAGTGTACTCACCCTGTTAGCTCTACTTACTTGATGCCAATCCACCAGGATAAGGACTGGTGTGTCTGTTAATCCTTGACCTAGTTCAGGAAGTGGCAAGTAGTGTGGCCCTGTGTCTGCTGTTGGCAACCTTAATCTTGAGTTTTATCAAGTTCTGGTGCTACTGCTACCTTACTTTGTTTAGGTCTGGTCTGGTACATGAGCAGGAATACCTTGTGGAGCCAGTGTTGTCAGGCATTGATTGGTTGTTACTTTATGCTCAACATCTCAGTTTGTCTGGTCCAGGTTTTCCTGGGTGGTGGGCTACGTTATCTATTTGTACCCAGACTGAACAGGGTGGACTAAATGATACATGCCAACCTGCTAGTTTTACCCAGACCATACTAGTTTGACTCAATGGTACTTGCCAATCTGGTAGTTATACCCAGACAATACTAGTTTGACTACATGGTACAAGCCATTCAGGTAGTTTTACCTAGACCATACTAAATGGTACATGCTAATTGGTTAGTTCTACCATATGGACTGTAGTGCCGACTAAGTGTCATAGGCTAATCTAGTAGTTGTACCGCAAGATTATGGTGTTTACTAATGGTACATGCTAATTTGGTGCTGCACAGGATTGACTAAAAAGTACTTGATACAATGGTAATTGAACCTTCTAGACTGCAGGGTCGACTAAATGATACATGCCAATCTGGTACTTGTGTGTACACACAGGACTTTGTGAATACCTCTTTGTAAATAACTTGTAGATAATTTTTGTACCATTCTTTTCCTTGTGGTGGAAGATGATACTGTTAAACAAATCTGTGATACAAATGTTTTTGTTGGTCTTAGAGCCATTTTTTTTTCTTTACAATGTGACTTTCTGCCATTGTCAACTTAAGTGGAGCTGTTTCGTGGACAATGCAGCCGTGTTGTTGGACTGTTCTAAGCTAGGCTATCAACAGTGGTAGCCTTTTTTTTTCTGGAAGATTCTTCACTAATAAATAACATGGTTTCACTTGTCCATGCATTCTCCTTAGTGTCATTGTTTCTTTATTTGTTGTGTTAATTAGATGTAAACATTCACTTCTATCTAGGAGTTTTTAATGGAAACTTTTTATAGCAAGTATGAGCAGATTGTTTCCTACTTTCAATCAAACAAGTTTTGTGTCAGTAGGCCTACTAGCTGCAGCTGTATCTTTTTTTTTGTCAGTTTCTTGACAGTTTTTAAATTGCAAGATCTATAGTCTATAGCGTCTGTTCAAGTAATAAAGAACAATATAGATGGTTTTGGTCTTTAGGCCTACACTAGAGTAGAGGTTGATTATAGATCTATCTCTAAATTATCTGCCAGCTTCTGATATATTTTACTTTGAATGTCAGTCATGTTTGACTTGTCAATTTGTAACAGTTGAAGAGGAACACTAAATTTTGTGGTCATGGTCTCTGCCCATGAAACATGAGGAGGTAATCCTTGTACTGCAATTCAACATTTGATTCGTTGCCTTCCCTTTATTAATTACATCCCCATCACAGTTTCTATTGCTACGGTTAAAGTATAATTAAAATTAGCGGTACTGTTATTTAAACAAATTTTAAAAGGTAAGGAACAAATTCTGGTGGGGGGGGTAGTGATGGAAAGTTTTTAATTTATCAGATTCAATTATTTTGTGCTGAGTACTAAATTGTAGTTCTATTATTATATTTACTCTAAACAATAAGGAATACGTTGTATCCCATTGCATAATCATAACGTGAAGTATGAGTTGTAACTATCCTTGATTTATTCAATACCGATAACAACAGTAGGCACGGGGCTTTCTTTAGTTAGCTACCTTTATTCGTATTCGATCGTTCAAAAAAAATCCTTCAGTTTAATAAGGCCTACACTAAATCATAGTAAATCGATCAGACGAAATACAACACGACTTATTTATATTCGATACTGTTGAAGAAAGGGGAGGGGAAGATTATAAAGATTCAATAAAGGTGTAATTGTGTATAACATGTAAATATTTTAATGTAACAGCTTGCCGCACTAGTTACGTGAGTTTAGTTACATACTTCGCCTTGAGTTAATGCTAGCTTCAAAGTGTAGGCCTTCACAGTATATCTGTTGTAATGTAATTAGGTACTCTAAACTGCCGAAAATAGAGGTTTCTGTTCACTTTTGTTACTTTTCCCCACCACTTTCCACCACAAAGTTCTATAAAAATTACGCGTATACCGTATACTAATAAAATGGTATGATTTAAAAGCCTTAGCTCCACAACAATATGTTGTAATCTAGGATTTTCTTTACAAATAATCATATAGCGAGCGTCTGAGTGGTCGAAACTAAACTGTTGTGTGGCTCGCAGGTCTCTGGTCTGTAGGTAGCTACAGGTGCTGACGTCAATGATGACATGCTGAATTCTCCTGTTTGGTTTGTTTTGTCTTTAGGTGACACAGAGGAAGGCTCTACAACGCTGGACAAAATATTTTTTAAAAGTACGGAAAAAATGGCTAAGTTTTAACATGCACACATTCAAATTCTATAATTTATAAACAATACAATTAATTCCTTTTAAGACCAGGAACTGAGAAAGCTGCTTCTATTTCTATGCGAATCATGACCAGGTTATCTTACTTAGCAATCTGTTGTTTCTTTCAGACTTTTCTCGGGAAAGGGGGGGTGGGGGCTAGTTTAAGTATATTTTCCATTTTGGGGGGAGGGGGGAAGTGAAAGGAGCGAACAACGGAAATATGATGGGTATTTCTCGTATTTTTATTGAACGAAACAGCCTAAACCAACTGCCTGTACATAGGCTTGCAATACAGATATGCTGAAAGCTCATGGAAGCCATTTTTATGACCTTAGCTTGGTACATTCAATAAGATCTGAATTTGTTTTTAGTTTTTATTATAGTATATTACCTATACAGTTCCATCTTTTAACGATCACGTTTTCTATATGGAAACCCACGGACCAAATCGTGTGCGCTGAGACCAGGCTCCATCGCTAGAGACAAATAGGACTAATACTGATAGGTTGGGGAATCTGTGAAATTTCTCGGGGGTACCGATCATGGAAGCGCCGCTACAAGTCAAATATAATAAAAAGTAAAAGGGGATATTTTTGGTCATCTTCTAATTTACACCATTTTGACCTTAATAACTCAATTCATACCCGGTCGGGAAGTGGTTTAAAGTCAAGTTGCCCCTCCCCCGATACTGAAATCTCGCTTCTGATCCATGCCCGTATTTGTTCATCAAGTATGTGCAATTGGAATCACATCAGTGATGACCCACACATCACCATCTTGCTGATGACCCCACATCACCAGTTACGAGCCACGTAGAGTAACTCGTATGACTGTGACCTCTCCTCAAGGACAAGGAGAGACGTGGGTGAGACCCCTTCTCCCAACCTAACGCTAAAGCCGGAAGGAGCAAAGAGTTGTGTTTAGCCTCACTTTCTGTAGATACAGAGTTTCTTCCAGGCACCTCTTCGGAGGGGGCGGGGCTTCGCCCCCCCCCCCCCCGCCCGAAATTTTTTTACCGCCCCCCCCCCCCCCGAACGAAATGAAATTTATATAATTTATATAGAAAATATATACTTTTAACAGTGTCCGCCCCCCCCCCCCCCCCGAAGAAAGTCTACCGCCCCCCCCCCCCCGAAAATTCCAAGTGCCCCCCCCCCCGGAGAAAAAAGTCTGGAAGAAACACTGTGTAGATATACAAAACATTCTCTAGTTCCTGCATGTCTAAAGCAGTGTTTCTTCCATACTTTTTTCTCCGGGGGGGTGGGGGGGGGGCAGACACTGTTAAAAGTATATATTTTCTATATAAATTTCATTTCGTTCGGGGGGGGGGGGGGGGCGGTAGAGATGCCTGGAAGAAACTCTGGTCTAAAGTAAATAATATACCTACAGGAAAAACTTAAGGGGGGGTGGAAGCAATAGTTTATGAGCTTATAACCAGTGTTTCTTTCAGGCAGCTCTTTTGGGGGCGGGGGGGGGGGGGGGAGGCACAGTCAACCGGCCTCATATGAAATAGAATTTATATAGAAAATACATACTTTTTACAGTGTCCGCATCCCCCCCCCCCCCCCCCCCCCGGAGAAAAAAGTCTGAAAGAAACACTGCTTATAACAGGACTTAAACACTACCCAACCCATAAGACACTATCATAAAAAAGAATGTGTATGTAAATGCCGATGTGCTCGACCCCTAACAAGACCCGCTGTATGTGGTTTAAGGCCTATTATTCATTAATGCTCCAAACGTCATTCTAATGCTGTCAGTGGAAGCCAAAAAGGACTAACGTAGCGAAGCTTACCGTAGGAGTTTAGGTCATGTAGGCTGCGATGTTCTTAGTTGTGCTATTTTACGTGCTTCCTAGCCTACTTTTGTCGAAGCTAGCCTAATGCTTTTAACACCCTGGTCGACATTTTATTGAGATTGACATCTGATAGGTGAAAGATCGATAAGAGTCGCCTTATCTTTTTTTTTTAATGACCTAACATCCTAAGAAAATCAAGTTGCGGTGAGGGACGTCACATTGATGAACGGGGGGAATCACCGACTGCACTAGATTAATGGGCGGCCCTACATTTTGTCATTCACGTGCAGTTAGAAGTATCCGAAGAGATGCTTGGAAGAAACACTGTTCACATGGTTGGACGGCAGAGCATCCGACTGCTAACCCAAAATTCTCGAGTTCGAATCCTGGTTAAAATACATAAACTTAAAACGTCCCTGATTTCACCTAGTTCTCACGTCAAAGGAGGTATGCGAGGTCACTGTAGTGTAGTGTAAGAGTAGAACTCACTTGCCCCATGGACTGTCAAGTTAGGAAGAAAATTTTACTTTTGTGTTTATGGTTCATACTCATGGTGGGTAAATTTAACTCTGGTTCGAAAGTATAATGGGAACTCTAACGTGGTACCCAAGAGGAAGCTGATGAGACGTTAAAAGATGCTGTCAATTATTTAATGTGGTACAAGAAAAAGTCCTTGCTGTCAATGTGGTTCAAGAAAAGGTCCAAGCTGTCAATTTGTTAATGTAGTACAAGAAAAGGTCCATGCTGTCAATTTGTTAATGTGGTACAAGAAAAGGTCCATGCTGTCAATTTGTTAATGTGGTACAAGAAAAGGTCCATGCTGTCAATTTGTTAATGTGGTACAAGAAAAGGTCCATGCTGTCAATTTGTTAATGTGGTACAAGAAAAGGTCCATCCTGTCAATTTGTTAATGTGGTACAAGAAAAGGTCCATGCTGTCAATTTGTTAATGTAGTACAAGAAAAGGTCCTTGCTGTCAATTTGTTAATGTGGTACAAGAAAAGGTCCATCCTGTCAATTTGTTAGAGTTGTGCAATAAAATATCTTTGCTCCACTACTCCATTGTTGAAGCGGTGAAGAAAGTCAAATGGATCAGGTTTTAACCATCTAAGTTATGTTAGTGGAAGTTGAGGACCTATTTCAATTTAGAGGTTAATGACCAGCTTCTAGATTTTCAGAGTGTGTGGTTAAAACATCTACTGAGTAGAGCTTATTCAAAACTTCTGATGTATTAAGTTTGTTGAGCCGAAATACAAGTATTAGTTAAGGTGGCTGGGTGTAGTGCTGACCACATTATCTTTTCACATGTAGAGGTTAATAAAATAGATGAACTCTACTTCATATGCCACACGGATAACCACATTTGAAAAGGGAAACTTCACAAGTATTACATTAGTTCGAATGTTTTATTTAATTTCTTAAACATTCATAAACAAATGATAGGAAATATATATATTTATTTTCCCCACTGTTTTTTTTAACATAGCTACAAGAGTGTTTTATTTACATGATGCAAGTTCATCGTCCATGACCTTAGGAAACACTGACCTATTTTATAAACAATCTTGTCAAGTATTTTATGAAAAGCAAGTTAAAACACAGTTCTATATCTAGCAAATCTTTTATTTAATAGTGCATACACTACATCAACAATATTCCTACTGCAGAATCAGTTTTTCTTCTTCTTTTTCTTCTTTCGTCTCCTCTCCGGATTGGAAACCATTGTTTTTATATTTGCTTCATTGTATGAAATAGATATAAATCCTTCCTCTTGTTTTAATTTCCTCTTGAGGTTTTTCTTGGAAGACACGGGCAAATAAATAAACTGAGGAACATCCGGTGGGTTGGCTTGTGGTGCTTTGAAGGCACCAAGTACTTGGGCGTCGTCGTCATCAATTTTCTGAACACTTTTTCCAGCTTTTCTTGACTTGGTTAAGTCATGACTTTCTGCCTTTTTAAAGTCATGACTCCCAGCTCTGGATATAGCAAATATAGGAGTGTCACTACTTTCTGAGTGGTCAGGTGGTGCTGTACCTGACTTTGTTAAGTCATGATTCCCAGCTCTAGATATAGCAAACATGGGAGTGTCACTACTTTCTGAATGGTCAGGTGGTGCTGTACCTGACTTTGTTAAATCATGACTCCCAGCTCTAGATATAGCAAACATGGGAGGGTCTTCAACTTGACTTGTCAGCTTTTGGCTGCCTGTTTCATCACAGGTACCAGAAGAGAAAGAAATGAACTCCCCAGCAGCAACAGGCTGAGCTGAATGAACAGCCTGACTGCTGTTTGAAATGACAGCTGTGGTCTGGAGTTTTCTTTTCCCTTGTTTGGGAGTAGTTTTGTTTTCTTTTCTCACCGGCTCAACCTTACCCAGAGCAGCTGGGGAACTTGATGATGAGAGTTGGATGAAATCTGATGAAAATGTCAAGTTTTTTTTGGTTTTCTCTTCTTCCTCTTTGTACTTTGACAGGACGTCTTTCAGGTCTAGGGAGTCTTTTTTCAGCACATACAGGTAGGAATAGTCCTCTTCAGCAGGTGTCATGTCTTGCGCTGTTTCACCTGACGCCAGAACGTTTTGCGTTACCTCGCCTGATGCCTGGACAGTGTCCATGCTTTGCACCGTATTATCACCTGACAGCTGGAGATCGCCCTCTATACCTACAGCTGACGGCAGTGCTCCACTGTTTGTTGTACAGTCAGGACTGGCCAGGGCCTTTAAACACTTGTCTATGAGAACTTGGAAATGTGCAGGGCTATCTGGTGAAAGGTTTGAGTGCTTCTGAAACAAGATAAAAATTTAAGTATGTAAATACATTATGGTGTGGGGGACACATTTTTGGCCTCAAAGTGTGGAAGGTTTTATGTTCAAATAATTTCACTCCCACTGGGTCTTTGTTTGTTTTTTTAATTTAATACTGCATGTTACACAAAAAATATACTATTCCAAAAGGTTGAATGTACTAATAGCCAGGATCACACAAACCATATAGGTACTAGAATAAAGACTTACTGTTTAAACAGAACTACAAACACTGTTCACAGTCTCACCTTGACCCCTAAAACAGAAACACACCCCTGGCACAATGCTCTGAACACCTGGACCAGACCTGGGACAACAATGACTGGACATTTTGATTGGGATGCAGCCAACAAAAAGGAACGAGCGGCATGCTCTGCTTGTAAAATTGGTACCATTTCCTCTGAGATTAAAACCAATTCTAGCTTTCCTCTCTGAAGAAAATCAAACACAGTGTTCCTTCCAAAATCAAACTGCTGGCTGTTGAGTAAAACAAAATTGTGGATGGGAACAAAATGTAAAAATCTAAACAAACACAGTTCAGTAGACAAAGTAAGTATGGAACTGAACTATACACAATGATCTTCAAAAAAAGAATTCATAAAGAATTTACTTATCTTACCTATCCTTATAGCACAGATATAAATGTAAAAAGTAGGAGTGACAATTTTCAACTATCAAAGGTCACCTTTGACACACTTTCAAATGATGTGCTGGTACCCATGTGAGTAACTTTTAGAAATAAAATAATTTCTATTCATGTTCAGCACTTTGCCTTTCACTCTTTTTATACAAACATTACATTAGACACCTAACATGGCAAATTGACATGAGCAAAAAAAATAATCCCATCTCCCAAAAATTTAAAAGTCAAGAAGCAGATGGGAAGGCTGGAATGACATGGACTTAAAAAATGAAAAAGAAAGCAAATCAGGTTCATTTGTTAACTATGCTCCCTATGCTTCTCAAACAGAAAGATTAAACTAAAACTTACTGAGATTGTTTGTCAAAACAATCCTTCAGGTTTCCCTTTGGTTTCTTTTTTTTCCTTTTCTGTTTTATGTCTGGCTTTACATCCTGACCCTGAATTACTAATGATCCAAATACCCTGCAAAAAAAATTTGTAAATTTATTTTTTGTTTTATTTTAACCTATACCACATATCTAAGCATTTACATTTTAAACATTAATTATTGACATGCTTTTTAAATATACACGAAGAAAGATGAAAAAATTACCTTTTTATTTCTTCAAGGATATCTGACTCATCATTTTTATTTACTCTGCAAGGTCTACAATTGTTCAAATTGCGGAATAAAAAATAAAGATTCAATTATCACATTTATGGAAATAACAGAAAATCTTATTGAGCACTTATGACTCATTTTACAAAATATCACTGAGATGAGCAGTATAAAAAAATTAACTAATCAAAAACACTTTACCTGATATTGTGAGACTGTGCTGGATTACTACCCTGTGCTGGTGTTTCACTTGTTTTAACAGGAGCATGAGGTTTGGTGGAGCTAACTTCTCTTATCAATGATATTATTTCAGTAAAATCTGATTCTGAATTGTTGTCTAGTTTCTAAAAAAGATAAACCAAACCTAGTTTAAACAAAAACAAATAATGTAAACTATACAGTGATTGCAATAAAAATTCATCTACATGCTGATGGTGACAAAAAAACAACTGATATGATATAATTCACAATTCCATGACCGCTTCAGACTAGTACAACAGTGTAGCCTTTTTCATTCATCAACTGCTATCTAAATCCTATTAGATTTATGTGAGCATAAAAACCAACCCTACAAAGCTATCACATTTAAATTAAATTAATGTGAATACATTCATTAATCAACTATTATAGTAGGATCTGTTAAATGTGCACAATTAAACAAAATAGTTCTATTGTTTAAAAAACCTTTCACCCTATCAAAAAATGTCTAAACTTAATTCCATAATTGCTACACCAAGTTGACCATTTCATATCTAATTCAGAAGCTTCATGCCAATGAATTACACATCAACACAAAAACTTGGAACACAGACTAGGAAAGAAAATAAAACAACTAAAAGCAAGTTACTTTAAATCCAATGGCCAACGGAAAACACTTTGAGTCTGTACTTGCAGCTACTGAGGGGGCTAACTGGTTAACACACACAAGTGGGCAGCCTTTTTCCTGGCACAGCGATATCACATGGTTGACAATGATGGCAGGTGTTGCTTCCCCAGACAAGAGAACACATGTTAACTGATCTCGTTCCAGAGCACGAAACACACAGGAAGTGCCAATGGTAAGCTGTGACCTAAAATAGAAAACAAAATTCCCTATAAACTTTTATTTATTGATTATTATAGGAAATAACTTGTTAAATGACAATCTGAAAAAAATATAGACCTACCTGATTTTGCTTTTTTTGACCAGATCCTCTTTGGGTGTGTTTTTTGGGGATTTAAAGATATTCGGCAAGCTTTTCAGTTTTCTGTAAAGATATAATTTGTTAATACTAATATTCTATTCTAAATAAAATCTGACAAATGAATGCTGCACCACATATCTAATCAACATTGTAACATTCCAGTTTAAGTCTTAACTATTAATGTTTATTATAAAGGTCTAAAAAACTTTTAGGCCTCCACATAAAATAAAATTGTAGGTTAAAAAAACCCATAGCTGTTAAACAAAAAACTCAATCTCAGACTGAACTGAATGGTTAGTATGGACAGATTTGACAGTGTTGATCAGCTTCTGTAGGAATTGTATAGATTATGTGGCCATTATAATACCCAGTTGCTTTTCTTTTCAATGGTTATGTTGGCTTTCCATTTACCAAACATTTGGTTTTGGACACATTTAAATGTGGAAGCAGAGGCAATCACAAAAATATGAAATGTGTATAATTTTTGGCAGGCAAAGATTTGAAAGAGCTAAAAAGACACTCACTCTGTTAATTTGGATACTATTTTTTTCTGTATGCAATCATCTGGTCGTGGCCTAGAAAAATTGCAATAAAAAGTGATAATAAATACTTTACGATATTTAATCTTTAGTTTATATTAGTCCCTTTAACTCAACAAGATAAAAAAACCTGATACTGATAGTGATAGGAAAAAAATCATAAAAAGTCTATTTTTTATGTCAATTGATCCAGCCTTGCTGTATATAGATCTAGATACTGTTTACGGCAACATTCTAATCTAGATGGCCTACTCACTACTCAGAGCTGTCGCGAGGTGGGGGCTGGGGTCGCGGACCGCTCCGGGTGACACCATTGATGAGAGGGTGACACCAAGAAAAAAATGCAAGATATATATAGTGGTAATCTATCGTTTTAGGTACGTAAAATCGCCCGCGGCTAGTAATGTACGAAGAAATTACTTCATTGTCAAGGCTTTCATAGAAGTATATTGTGAAATATTTGTGTCAAATATTATAGATAAATGAATAATAAACCTAAATCAATGGCTAAATATATCAATAGGGCCTATAGGCACGAAATTAACTTTAAACAGCGGTGTTTGCGAGCAAGATTTGCTATATAAACAGCAGCCATTTGTAAAATCCCCCTGAATCTCGCGCTATAAGTTTTAAAAATAAAACTTAAACAAGATGGCTGCTATAATAAATGAGCATGGTTGCATCTGTTGGAAACATCGCTAGTTAACATTTATTACTGAAAAGTTTTAATTCACTTGTTTAAAAACAGGTACATACATTAAACAAGGAAACATTTTTGAATTTTTTAAAACATAAATCCTCATCAACATGTGAAATATTTATTAAAATTTAAGGAGTCACCTGTTTTTCACATTACAAATCGCGAGCGATTTTACGTACCCAAAACGATAGATTACCCCAGGACCCAGATCTAGATCTAGATCTAATCTAGAACTACTGTCACTACAACTAAGTTAGGCCGAATCTATGATCTAGATCACGGGTTCCCAACCTGGGGGTCGCGAAGGTCTTTCTGAGGGGTCGCCAACTGATATACTAAACCTTAGTAATTTGAAACAAAACATGAATATTTAGAAGATTTTTTTTTTAATTCGGCTTCATTAATTAACATCACTGGAAATGTAATAGAGAAGAAACAAAGCGCACTGTACAAAGCTGTTCTCAGTCACGAATCTATGAAATATTCAAAACTTAAACGCCGTTTGAGACGAGTCATTCGGAACACACCAAAAAATATATGGAGTTCTTTCGTCGGTAAGAAGCTAGTTGCAAACGCCATAGATTGATCGAACAGGAAGTTTTCACCAGCATTAGTGCAAGCATCAAATAGAGTCGCGATAGAAAATGCCAAGCAAAAAAAAAAAAAAAAAAAAAAAAAAACAATAGGAGAAAATCTCATCAAACGCTGCATGTACGTAAATGTTAAATAACACATTTTTATTGAAATTAAGCTTTCACCATTGTTTGCTTTTCAAGTTGATAAATCAACAGACGTGAGTTCGTGTTCGCAGTTGCTGGTCTGTATCTATGTTCATGCAGATGATAGCAAAGAAGAGTTGCTCTTTTGTGAAGATAGCATGGAGAAAATAAATACCTTTTTTGAAACTGGATGATTAAAATGGGTTAGAACGGCTGTGGGGGTTTGTACAGATGGTGCGCCATCTATGTTTAGATCAAAATCGGGCTTTCAGAAAACAGAAAAGATTTAGCTCCATAACCACTGCCCTAACCAATCGACATCAAGAGTCCATTGTTAGTATAAGTCGTAAACTATATAAAATCTGGTACCTTCAAAGAACTGAGCAAAAACATTAATAGGTCACGAGGTTCTGCTCTTCTACACTACAGTATGCTGGCTGTCAAACGAAATGTTGTAAATTGTGTTTATGAAATGAAATCTGAAATCAAATTGTTCTTGGAAATGCAAAGGAAACAAGACCTTTTGGTATACTTAAAACGACATAGAGTGGTTGGAGAGAGTATCATACCTAGCAGATGTGTTCGAACATCAAGATAAGCTTAACCTGAAACTTCGGGGAAAGTGAACGAATATTATAACTTTCCATGATAATCTCGGGGCATTTTTTATCAAAGCTGCAAAATCGGTAAAGAAAATAAATTTTGGAAATATTGTAAATTTGAGAAACTCTGCGGTGTGGTAGATGAAACTGATTGTGAGATAATTAAAATTTTGAAAGAAGCGATTTCTGGGCATCTTGAATCTCTTGAAAACGAACTGCATCGCTTTCTCTGAGCTGAAAAAGAAGAATCTGCATTTACGCATTACCCATTCTCTTCTTCCTTTGATGTTGCCAGAATTCCCGAGAATTACAAGATGAATGCTTTGATTTGAAGAATGATTTCGCGTAAGATGAAAAACTGCAGACACAATTTTGGTGTATTATTCACCATTTATATCCAAACGTAAATTTGATTTACTTTTCGAGAATATATTTTGAACACTATTTTTCGATTAAAAACAAAATTAAGATAATTATAATGACATAGGTTGGCGTTAACAATTTTTTTTTTAATTAAAAATTTAACCACGAAGGTTTAGTGAATAGTATGCAATAATACTCATGCTATTAAAATAGTTATCAAGAGTAATTCACATTGAAAGTCTACTAGAAAATCTTATTTTAGTGCTTATTAATTTCCACACTAATTTCGGCTTTTTAATTCTATGGGGGTCGCGGGTCACTTACTTTTTATAAAAGGGGGTCGCCACTCGAAAAAGGTTGGGAACCACTGATCTAGATCTATTTAAATTTAGTTTTATTAGTTTATATTCCAAAACTTTTTTTTTTACCATGGTACATCAGAGCAAAGCATGTGTTTGTGAGTAACTTTTTTAACTTGTCCTTTAGTTTCTTTATCAAGCAAGCGCTTGAAAGTTGCTTGATGCGAAGCATCTGTTGTGGGCGCTGCCATTTTTATTTTTTAAAAAGTTGGATCATAATATTATTGTTATTATTTGAACGGGGTGCAGATAGTGCGCTATTTTCCAGGTCTGCATGACTGCATAGAAGTCTAGATCTAGATCTAAGTAATATATTATCTCTATATTGTCCGGGGGGAGGGGGGTGGTCTGAGGACGTGGACCTGGGGATATGCCTGAAAAAAAATCCAGACCTATAGATTTAGTAGTAGCAGTGGCGGAACTAGAAAAGGTCGGCGCCCGGGACATATGTACCCCCCTCGCTAAGCCTCAGATATATATATATATATATAGGCCCCTATATATATATATATATATATATATATATATATATATATATATATAAGAAGATTCATACGCATCGTGAGACAAGAGACCACACAAACATAAACCCAAACTCTTTTCGGGCCGTAACGAATCGAGTAATTATTAATTAATAGGTAATGGGTAGGCCTATGTTTAATTTAATTTAATGCCCGCGGAAAATTGTGAACAGCGTTACTTTTTTATGAAAAAAACTTTTTATAGCTATGTAATTCTTTATTATTTAAATAATAATTAAGAGAAGCTATTGCTTTTTATTAGTTTAATGCAGAGCTACTTAAATGAGCTTATAGGCAGCCCTATACCTATTAGGCTATCTAAAGAAGAGTTTTAGATGTGTTTCTTCCATACTTTTTTCTCCGTCCGAGGGGGGAGGAGGCACTTGATATTTTCGGGGGGGGGGGGGGGGGGGGGGGGGCTGGTCACTGGTACAAGTATATGCTTTCTATAAAATTCCATTTCATTCGTGGGGTGGGGCGGTAGACATTCTTCGCCCCCCCCCCCCCCCCCACCCCGAAGAGATACCTGGGCGAAACTCTAGTCATGAAAGTGGTTTGAACATTTGCCTATCTTTTTTAGCATAGTGTAGTTTGTTTTCGTATACGCAACTAGGTGTATCAGTTAAACTTAGTAGTAGATCTTTTTCTATAAATTCACTAAGGGGTTGTCCATAAATGACGTCACACTCGTAGAGGGGAGGAGGTACGTAATTTTGTGACGGTGTGTGATCTGGGGGTTGGGGGCGGGAGGCTCAGATAGTGTGACGTCATTCTTTTGCATAATAAAAAAGTAATGTTAGAAAACGAATTTTAGTCGTTATTTCGCGTTTTAGAAAACAGTTTTAATAAATTGTAACAGAAATTGGTTAAAATATTGACAGAGTTCAGCAAGACCTTCTTTTAAAATAAACCGGGAGTGATCTCCCCTAAACTTTCTCAAAAATTATATATAACACTACAGGGGATGGCAACTCGGGATATAGACATGATTTTTAATCCATTTTAATTACTTAAACTTTTTTAAATAGAATAGAATCTCGAAGAAAAAAAATTTCGCACCAATTAAGTGAACTCCAAAACAATATGTGTATAATAGTGCGGAATATTCATCATCATCATCATTCCTTTGTGGCCCCTGGGGAGCAAAGGGCTGCAACCACACATCTCCATCGGACTCGGTTTTGGGCTGCCCCCTTTATCTGTGCCCATGTGTGCCCAGCTACTTTCGCCTCTTCTTCAACCGTTCTTCTCCATGTCTTCCTTGGCCGGCACACCCTCCTTTTTCCCTGGGATTCCAGTCTAAAGCATACATTGCGATGTTTTCTTTTTCCTTTCTTAATGTGTGTCCAATCAATCCCCATTTTCGGGCCTTGACATCTGTCTCTATTGCCCGACTATTGGCTGTTGCTTTAAAGTTCGCCACATGTCTTTGATATTTTGTCTGGTCATCTTATTTTAAGTATATGTCGTAAGCATTAGTACTTTATAAATTCACAAGCATTTTTTGAGAAATCGGAAATAGCGTAAATTACTACTTCCAGTGAACGGAAATAACTAAAATTTTACAGAAGGCAGAGAATTAGACCTTTTACTTACATGTGAAATTTCATTAATCTATCTCAAACAGTACTCAAGCTATAGGCTTTTGAAAAATTGAAAGTAGAATAAGTTCCATTTCCGGTTACCGGAAATCGCCGAAAAGTTGATACAGAACCACACAATTTATATAATACTTATATATGAAATTTCATCAACCTAGCTGTAAAGGTACTCAAGTTATCGTGTTCACAGATACACACACACAGACATACGGACAAAAGTGTAAAACTTAGGAAGTGTACAACGTGTAGATTTGCTAAAATCTCGATTTTTTTTTTTTACACGATTTCAATACTTTCTCTATGCTTCGTAGATCTATACGAGAAAGTAATAAACCGGGAGTGATCTCCCCTAAACTTTCTCGAATATTCTTATATAAAATAACAGGGGATGGGAACTCGGGCTATAGACATGATTTTTAATCCATTCTATATAATAGTTTCGCTGTCTCTCTATGTATCTATCTATCTATCTGACAAGAACGCTGTAGAGAAAACACAAGCAAAATAAAAACATGCACAGTAATTCGAAAAACGAAGTATGATGCGGTCACATTTAGCTTAGAGCAAGCCGGAGAGTGTACGCAATTGTATGACGTCATTGATTTTCGAGTAAACATTGAATAAAAAGGAAATTTTGTCTAATCTAGGTGGTTTGCGTGAATTCTTCGGGTAGGGGCGAAGCCCCACCCCCGCGTAAGAACGTCTGAGCCCCCCCGCCCCAACTCAAAAGAAATGTCGTAATCGATACTCTATAATAAAATTATCGCCTAATTAAGGTGTCTAATCTAAAAAGTGGTTTTCTTGCAATTTCTTTAATGCAATTCTTCGGGTAGTGGCTAAGCGCGACACCAGTGTTTCTTTCAGACGTTTTCCTCCCCGGAGAGGGGTGGGGGTAATTGAAATTTTCGGGGGCGGGGGTAGAATTTTCGGGGAGGGGGGCGGACACTGGAAAAAGTATATAATTATATTTCGTTGAATGGGACGGTAGACATGTTTTTTTTGGGGTTGGGGGGTGGGGGGGGGGGTGTGGGGGGGGGGGGGGGTAGGGTGGTTTCCTTATCGATACTCTATAATAAAATTACCGCCTAATTAATGTGTCTAATCTAAAAAGTGGTTTTCTCGCAATTTCTTTAATGCAATTCTTCGCGTAGTGGCTAAGCGCGACACCAGTGTTTCTTTCAGACTTTTTCCTCCCCGGAGAGGGGTGGGGGGTACTTGAAATTTTCGGGGGCGGGGGTAGAATTTTCGGGGAGGGGGCGGACACTGGAAAAAGTATATAATTATATTTCGTTGAATGGGACGGTAGACATGGTTTTTTGGGGGTGGGAATGGGGGGGGGGGGTGGGGGTGGGGTGGGGGTGGGTGGGGTTGGGGGGGTGGTGTGTGGGGTGGGTGGGGGTGGGAGGGGTGGGGGTGGGGGGTGGTGTGTGTGGGGGGGTGGGTTGGTTTTAGTTTAGAGAAAAGAGACAGCACTATCAACCTAGCGCCCGGTGTATCCTTCCTCAACGGGCCATTTTTCTCGTTAATACTAATAGTTTCGCTGTCTGTCTATGTATCTATCTGACAAGAACGCTCTAGAGAAAACACAAGGAAAATAAAAACATGCATAGTAATTCGAAAAACGAAGTATGACGTCGACACATTTAGCACAGAGTAGAAAATAATCTCAAGCCGGATAGTGCACACATTATTATGACGTCATTGATTATCGAGTAAACATTCAATACAAAGGCAATTTGGTCTAATCTAAGCTGGGCGTCTCGGTGGTAGTGCTGAATTTTTTTTCAAAGAATTTTTTTTCAAAACCCAATCAGATCAGGCCCTAAATGAGTATTCTATGTTTGTATTTTGTTTTATGCATATATATATATATATATATATATATATATATATATATATATATATATATATATATATACATATATATATATAAATAATATATATATATATATATATATATATATATATATATATATATATATATATATATATATAGGCCTATATATATATAGGCCTATATATATAGGCCTATATATATATATATATATATATATATATATATATATATATATATATATATATATATATATATATATATATATATATGTATGTATAGGGGGCACAACAATTTATTTTGCGGGGTGGCCCTTATTTTCTAGTCCCGCCACTGATGTGAAATAAATACATAGTTCTAATGCTAAATATTTTATCACCGTTTGTGGCTGAATATATTCACTAGGTATGTCACGTATGTCACGTGCCCTATTTGTTCCTGGTTAGTTACGTCTATCCTGGGATTAGTATAATCTCTTTGTTCTTTTATCTCCCTGCCAGTTTTTATTACGTTAAACACATCAGAGAAAAAAAATCAATATTTTTTTTATGTATAAGTGTACCCACCATTTTAGTTAAAGATGAAATAACCGCTACAAATTTAGCCAAATTGTACGTATGAGCTATATAGTGTCGCATTTATTTGCACCTTTGTAAAAAAAAAATAGAACATAAACCTTTTCTAGAGTCCTAATATTTAGCCAAGACTACATCACCTGTCTTATTTAATACATGTGATTGTCAGTTCTTCTTCTTCGTTCTTAATTTTTAGTGTTGGAAGGGATCGAGCCTTATCAGCCAGAGGGTTTGAATTTTTTTCAAATTTATCAACCATGAGCTTTTGCCGACTCGACCACGCCTCCATCACAATTAAGGATTACGTGTCAACTGGATATGCCCCATGACTCCGATCTAAACCTGCTTTTCTTTTTGGATTTGCTTCCATAGCCTTTGTCCAACCAAGAATAAACTACAAGGCAGCAGTTGTTTCATTTTGGAGTTGTCTCTCCTAGAAGAGTGGCTGTCCCCAGTAAACTGCAACCATGAGCTTTACCGACTCGATCACGCCGACCCCAGATTTTCAATTTAATTTTTGTTTGTTTACAACTTTCTCCAAACTGGTCTTTACTCACATTTTGATATAAAACGTGCAACGTGTTTTGATTTTATTTATTGGCCCATGAATATATCCGTATTCCCTATAAAATGCCATTTCAGCGTTCGTGTTGCTTGGCGGTTCACTAAGACTCCATAAATTATTGTCGCCAGAATGCGTAGTAGTTATTAAATGACCCAACAACCACTTTAATTTAGAAAAAACCCATTAATGAACTACAATCTTCTATAGCACATACGTTCTCCTACTGCGGTAGTTTTCAATCCGGTTTTTCAAATCCGGTTTATCTTTAAAAATGTAAACAGATTTTTTTTTCACTGACAGATTAATGAGTGTAAGCTCCCTTCAGCAACGTTTGACATTAAGAGATGATTTTTTTACTCTTTCATATCTACTTGGTCGTGTTACACAAATATACGAAATTACACTCTCGAAACTGGCTGTCCTGGTAGTGTTGTTATTAAATGAGAATGTGCTGACTACCCGCACTATTAGACAAAATATAATACGCTTAATCAGCGTTTAGTTATTTCCCTTTATCTTCAAAGTTTCTCCATTTCATCCTTTTGTTAGTTCACAAAAACGAATACAACAAACAGGGCACTTGTGACTTGTGCTGGAATTATAATTTCATGTACTGGTAGTAGCACTTCCCTTTTCGAACCTGACAGTCCATGGGGAAAGTGTAGTAGATTTCATCTATTTCTGTGACCTCGGCATTAGAAGGGATAGTGTGATCAGCACTATGCCCAGCCGCCTTTAACTTCCCTAACGTAAGTCATAGGGGGGGGGGGGGGCGTTCTACTGATTTGAATCCGAACTCGAGACTACCGGGTTAGCAGTCTAGCTTTCTACCGCTAGGCCATGCAGTGCCATAATTCAATATAAGCTACTGGTATATTGAAATATATGTTACATATTGTGTAAGAAAATGTAAATAAGCCAGTACAGTACGCATAGTTATCACTTGTCTGTAATTCCTAAACAAGTTAAATATGTGAGACTTTTATTAAAATTTTAATGAAATGTACTTGTATGATTAACAGTATGTGTTCTACGTCACGTGTAATCTATTTGATGAAAATCAACTTTATTCTATACAGGCTTAAAAACAAGTTAATAGTCGTATTATAAGACTAGATAAATGGCCCGTTGAGGAAGGGTACAACGGGCGCTAGGCTGATAGTGCTGTCTCTTTTCTCTAAACTAAAACCATCCCACCCCCCCCCCCACACACACCCCCACCCCCCCACACACACCACCCCCCACCCCCCACACACACCTCCACCCCCCACACACCACCCACCCCCACACACACCACCCCCACCCACACACACCACCCCCCACCCACCCCCACCCCCCAAAAAAACATGTCTACCGTCCCATTCAACGAAATATAATTATATACTTTTTCCAGTGTCCGCCCCCTTCCCGAAAATTCTACCCCCGCCCCCAAAAACCTCAAGTACCCCCACCCCTCTCCGGGGAGGAAAAAGTCTGAAAGAAACACTGGTGTCGCGCTTAGCCACTACGCGAAGAATTGCATTAAAGAAATTGCGAGAAAACCACTTTTTAGATTAGACACATTAATTAGGTGGTAATTTTATTATAGAGTATCGATGAGGAAACCACCCCACCCCACCCCCCCCCCCCACACACACCTCCACACACCACCCACCCCACCCCCACACAAGGAAAATAAAAACATGCATAGTAATTCGAAAAACGAAGTATGACGTCGACACATTTAGCACAGAGTAGAAAATAATCTCAAGCCGGATAGTGCACACATTATTATGACGTCATTGATTATCGAGTAAACATTCAATACAAAGGCAATTTGGTCTAATCTAAGTGGTTTGCGTGAAGAGTTTCTTTCATACAATTCTTCGGGTAGGGGCGAGCCCCACCCCCGCGTAAGAACGTCTGAGCCCCCCCCCCCCCCTCCCCAACTCAAAAGAAATTTCCTCATCGATACTCTATAATAAAATTACCGCCTAATTAATGTGTCTAATCTAAAAAGTGGTTTTCTTGCAATGGGACGGTAGACATGTTTTTTTTTTGGGGGGGTGGGGGGTGGAGGGGTGGGGGGGGGGGGGGGGGTGGTGTGTGTGTGGGGGGGGTGGGGGGTGGGGGGGGGGGGGTGGTGTGTGTGTGGGGGGGGGGGGTTGGTGTGTGGGGGTGGGGGGGTGTGTGGGGGGGTGGGTTGGTTTCAGTGTTTCTTTCAGACTTTTTCCTCCCCGGAGAGGGGTGGGGGGTACTTGAAATTTTCGGGGGCGGGGGTAGAATTTTCTGGGAGGGGGCGGACACTGGAAAAAGTATATAATTATATTTCGTTGAATGGGACGGTAGACATGTTTTTTTTTTGGGAGGGGTGGGTGGGGGGGTGGGGGGGGGGGTGGTGAGTGGGGGTGTGTGGGGGTGGGGGGTGGTGTGTGGGGGGGCGGGTTGGTTTCAGTGTTTCTTTCAGACTTTTTCCTCCCCGGAGAGGGGTGGGGGTACTTGAAATTTTCGGGGGCGGGGGTAGAATTTTCTGGGAGGGGGCGGACACTGGAAAAAGTATATAATCATATTTCGTTGAATGGGACGGTAGACATGTTTTTTGGGGGGGGGGGGTGGAGAGGGGGGGTGGGGGGTGGGGGTGGTGTGTGGTGCGGGGTGGGGGTGGTGTGTGGGGGTGGTGTGTGGGGGGGGGTGGGTTGGTTTTAGTTTAGAGAAAAGAGACAGCACTATCAGCCTAGCGCCCGTTGCACCCTTCCTCAACGGGCCATTTTTCTCGTTTTAAATACTTAAAGTTTTAAAAATAGAATAAAAAAATCTCGTAGACAAATTAATTGCACACCAGGTGAACGCCAAATAAAAAAGCGCATAATAGTGCGCAATATTATTATTACTTTTAAAATTTACATTAGTTTTTTGAGAAATCGGAAGTAGCGTAAAGTACTACTTCCAGTCAACGGAAATGACTCAAAATTTAATAGAAGGTAGAGAATTAGATCTTTTACTTACGTATGAAATTTCATTTATCTATCTGAAATAGTACTCAAGTTATAGGCTTTTGAAAAATTCAAAGTAGGAAAAGTACCACTTCCGGTTATCGGAAATCGCTCAAAAGTTGATACGGATCTACGATTTTGATTAAATACTTATATATGAAATTTCATCAACCTAGCTGTAACGGTACTCAAGTTATCGTGTTTACACACGGACAGAGTCACAGACACACAGACACATACACACACACACAGACATACGGACAAGATTGCAAAATTATGTTTTTCCGTATCAGTGAGGTGTAAAACGTCGAGATTTGTAAAAATCTCGATTTTTTTTTTTGCACGATTAAAAAGTAAAAAAAGGAATTACGAAAAATATAGCCTATTTGTCATTCTACACACATCGGAATAATTTTTAAGCTAGGCTAATGTTGAGATTTCGAGCTCGGAAATAGCCTAGGCCGTAGTCTAGTCGAGTCGAGATTGATAAACTTTTCAGTCAAAAGAGTGTTTCGTTGAGAAACAAGGTCTAGGCATAGGCCTAGGTCTATTTTTTTAATTGCAATCCCTTCCCATAATGCATGTAGTGACGTGTATCGTCGTTCAGCCATTTCTTAACGTCTACCAATAAACTAACACTCTTTATTAGGATTATTAGCTTTAACTAAGTAGATTTTTATAGTGTTGCAACAAAAAATGATACTTCTTACTATATTGGTTGCTGCCAATCTTTGGCATGGATTAAATGCCTTTTACTTACCTGGTCTCGCTTCAGTAACCTACTGTGCGGATTCTAAAAACAACAAAAACTGCGAGGTTTGTCACTCACTCCTGCTTGATCTAGATTTTAGATTCTAGAAATCTAGATTATCATTATACAAATATATATAGGCCTATTCTAGACCAGATTCTAGTGCAGCTAGTCTAGCCCTAATCTAGAATCTAGATCCAACTATTATTGAACTATTGACTAACTAAACTAAAACTAGAGAATGAGATATTTAATAAAAAAAAGTGTTACTGTCAGGTTGAATGTTTAAAATAAATCATAAAAATGTAATGTTGTATTGTTACTTGAACTTAATGTTAGTTTAGTTTGATCTAGACCAGGGGTTCCCAACCCCAAGCCCGCGGCCGAACGATTCGTATGTGCCCGCCTCTCACTTTTCGACAGAGACAGAATTTATTTCATAAACATACATTATTGAAGGGGATGGAAATCTAAAGTTTGACGGGGGGGGGGGGGGGGGGGGGGGGGTTGCAAATCGAAAGTTTGAGGGAAGGTGCAAAATAGGTGGTCCCCGCCACCCTACCGATATTTTAGAATGTGCTCTAGAGTAAAAAAAGGTTGGGAACCCCTGATCTCGACTCAAGATCAGAGATCTAGATCTAGATTCTCTAGATCTAGTTAGTTTTTTTAGTAGTCTAGATCAGAGTAGAACTAGATCTAGTCTAGATCTAGATTAATCATTAATCTAGATCTAGATTCTAGTTAAGTAAAGTAATAGGCCTACTTTGTGGTAGGACTAGCTACAGTAGCTATGGATAGCTACTACAGTAGCTAGGGATAGGGTTAGCTGCTTCTTTCTTATTTCTTAGCATTAACAATATAATTATAAAACCACAATAGACAAATGTAATAGGCCTAGATTCTAGATCTAAATTTTTTTTTTTACATTTTCAGTGCTTTCATAATTAAAAAAAAAGCCCCAAATTGTTGGCTTAGTTTAAACAAAAATTGTATAGGCCTAGTTTCCAAAAATACTAAAAAAAAATTAAATAGCCACATCCAATTGTAAGTAAAGCCAGATAAAACCTCACAGCACAAGATTTTAAAAATATTAGGCATAATTAACCATTCCAGACTATTCTCGCTGATTTTTAAAAAAAATTGTTTCTAGTCTACTATGGAGTTAGATTATAAATTCACATTATTTTTATGTTACAGACAAATATTATGGTGTACGTAAACAGACTGAACACAGTAGAAAACATTGTACCATATGAATATCATGAGTGAGTATTTTTCATTGCATCCAGTGACTTGACAAATTAAATGTTTTGTTTACAGTGCTCTGAATTGACAGGCTGCTTTACAGTTAATATTTTATTTTGAATTTTGTTATCATTTGAATCTAATACAATAGCTTAATTGCAATTGAAAAAAAATATTCGTTATAAGTTTAGCCATATTGCATTATTTTCCACAAAAATAAAAATAGTATGCCTTTGAAGTAAATTGACTCATTTAAGATGTTTTTTATTGTATTATATTAGCAAAGTATAAGACTTTGATAAGAGCTTAAGTTAGATCAATAATAGTTTTGAATTTTCATGCTTCAAGTACTAGTGAACAAGTTTGTTGAAAGTACCTTTTCAGTAAACTTTTTGTGCAAGTAAAATCAGTCATGTTTTTTTTTTTACAGCTTTGACTTCTGTGTGCCAGAATCAGATGTGGCATCTTCACCAACAGAAAATCTTGGACAAGTAGTTTTTGGAGAGAGAATCAGACCCTCCATGTATAGTGTAAGCTAATAAGATTACCTTTTGTATCATTATTTTAGAAATTCTATTTTTAATATTCTGTGTGTCTCAACTATTCTTTCTTCTTTAGATGAATTTTACAGAAAATTTGGAATGTAAAAAAGTTTGTGATAAAAGTTACAGCTCTGGGAACAAAGATCAAATGGAAAAACTAACCTTTTTGAAACGTGGAATTAGTCTGAACTATCAGCATCATTGGTAAACTAAACTTTTAGTGTTGGTTTAAAACTTGAATTGCTTTATATCAAGTTATACAGCATCAGGTAAATATACTCTAAATATCTTTTTATTTCCTGAATAGGATTTTGGATAACATGCCAATAACTTGGTGCTACAAAGTTGAATCAGGTGATGAATACTGCTCTACAGGTTTCCCTGTTGGTTGCTATGTAACAAAATTTGGAAAGAGAAAAGATACCTGTATTACATCAGTAAGTTATCATTAAAAGTTATCAAAATCAATTCTCTTAAACTGCCAGACAAGCATTTTGGAATTTTGTCTTTTTTTAATCTTAAACTTTTTATAGTGTAGACCTATATGGTAGAATCTATATTTCAGGCTCTTTTCAAAGATCCTGACACTTATTATCTATACAACCATGTTGATATAACAGTGGAATATCATCCCTTGTCTAATGAGGATTGGGGACAACAGCACACTGGTCAGGGCGGCCGCATTGTCAGAGCTAAACTAACGCCTAGGAGGTAGAGTAGAATGTATGATTTAGTTGTTAGTTTTGAAATTATACCTTAAGGTACCTTGTTTTATTTCATTGGTTGTATTATTCTATCCAGCATTAACCACCAGAAAGAAGGAAAGGATGCATGTGATGAGGATGCAGGCGTACTTGGCATTCCTGGGGGTAAACTGGAGAAACCTCTAAATATCAAATATACATACTCAGTTTCCTGGAAGGTACTCTATTCATTCACTCTACACATTCCTTTTCCAATGAATCCTTTTCCCCCTTTGTTTTTTATAAACATAGTTCTAATTTTTTATAGGAAAATACTGGCATCAAATGGACTTCTAGGTGGGACTACATTTTGGATTCAATGCCTCATACAAATATCCAGTGGTTCAGGTTAGTTTTTTTTTTTTTTTTTACATTTAGCCGTCTTAAGTATATAGTTACATTTTGAAAGTTAAAAGTAACCTTAATTTATAGGCATGATTTACAAACTTTTAAAGCTGTTCTTTTAAATTGACCTGAAATTATGATTTACTCTTTTCTTCTATTTCAAAGCATCATGAACTCTCTTGTTATTGTGGTTTTTCTTTCTGGCATGGTGGCCATGATTATGCTAAGAACCCTACACAAAGATATTGCTCGCTACAATCAGATGGATAGCTTGGTATGTTGAACGCTAGTTTTTACTTAGTAAAATAAATGCTCAAGGTAACTGCAATATAATTGTTTAGTTCATTATTTTATAGTTATGGCACTTAGCTTTAATACAATTGTTTGATCATTATTCTTTTCATAAATTTGAGGGTTTTTTTTGTCCCATTAGTAGTGGGGGAGATAGACCAATGAGGAGTTGATATGATAGGTATTGAACATTTATTTATAAAAATCATTGTTGTAAAAATGAATTTCCTCACAAATAATTAGGAGGATGCACAAGAAGAATTTGGCTGGAAGCTGGTACATGGTGATGTATTTAGACCACCTAGAAAGGGCATGTTCCTGACAGTTCTGGTGGGCAATGGAGCTCAGTTGTTTTGTATGACCCTCATCACGCTAGGTAAAAATGCACATGCAATTTTTACAAATAATACTATTTCTTTTAAAACATTGATATAAAATTAAAAATCTTGAGGCAAACAAATAATTTACTTTCCTTCACACATAGTAATGCTGTGGCAATATAACGTTTTGATAAAACTGCACCTATAGACATTGTAGATCTAGATCATTGTACAGCTATTCAATCCCTGATGTTGTTACTTGTTTCTCCAGTTTTTGCCTGCTTGGGATTTTTGTCACCAGCTAACAGAGGAGCTTTAATGACTTGCGCATTGGTAACTTTCTTTTAGTTGAAGTATACATTGGCTTGACAATTATAACCTATGATTTAACTAGAATGTGACTGTTACATAAAGTAAGTATTGTTACAGAAAGTACATTGTCTTTATTTAACCAGGTGCTGTATGTCTGTTTGGGAACACCTGCAGGTTATGTATCAGCCAGAATGTACAAGAGTAAGTAGTCACCATTTCAGCTCAAAGACATTTTTTTCCCTTTGGAAATTCATCTAAAATGTTTAACTTATTCTAATTCTCACTGATTTCAGCATTTGGTGGAGAGAAGTGGAAATCAAATGTCATTCTCACTGCCTTTTTCTGTCCTGGGTAAGTTTGTTAGCAAAATATATTTATAATATGATAGAATATAACATTAAACAAAATTACTCCTTTTCTTTCTTTATTATATACATGTCATTTTATGCTCTGCCTGCTCATTAAGACTTATTTATCATGCAAATGTATTAAAGATAATGATAAAATAGTATTTTATAAACATCAGTATCAAATGAGCTCAACTTTTTGTTGTGGATTTCAGATAAAAGTATTTGAAACGACTTGTTGTATTCTAATATTTTCTTTCAGCCTAGTGTTTGGGGTATTCTTTTTACTGAACCTTGTTTTGTGGGCTAAAGGAAGCTCAGCTGCCATCCCTTTCACTACATTAATAGCACTGTTGGCCTTATGGTTTGGTATTTCTGTGCCCCTCACATTTGTTGGAGCCTATTTTGGGTTTAGAAAGAGAGTAAGTGATAATATTCATTATTACATTACATTTTAAAAAATTTGGAGTGTTAGTTAGACCTGTACAAAATTCAATCAAAAATGTATTTCTCTAGCCCATTGAACACCCTACAAGGACCAATCAAATTCCTCGTCAAATTCCTGACCAATCACTATATACAAGACCCCTGCCAGGCATCATTATGGGAGGAGTACTGCCTTTTGGATGCATTTTTATCCAGCTCTTCTTCATTCTAAACAGCATCTGGTAAAATCATTTAATACTCATTTACCTCATTTATGTGGTTCAATAAATATTGTATTGGTGCCTCTGTATTTTAATGTATACAAATTGTTTCCATTGCAGGTCTCATCAAACATATTACATGTTTGGCTTTTTATTTTTGGTGTTTATAATCCTCATCATCACATGCAGCGAGGCCACTATCCTGCTTTGTTACTTCCACTTATGTGCTGAGGTCAGTACTAATTAATTACTAATTCATAACTCATTTTAAAATGCAAATTTCATGCAACATTTTTAATTTTTAGAGGAAGAGGTTGTTTTTATGATAGTTACAATAAAGTATTTACAAAGTAATTGTCTTACTAATAATTTATTACATTATTGCAGGACTATCATTGGTGGTGGAGATCTTTCCTAACAAGTGGTTTCACAGCCATCTACTTCTTCTTCTACTGCATCCACTTCTTCTTTACCAAGCTGGAGATGAGTGGCTTCACTAATACTTTTCTATATTTTGGATACACTGCTATCATTGTGTTTTTGTTTTTTATAACCACAGGTAAGTTGTTGGCTTGAAATGTATTGCTGTTTTAAATCTATTTTTAGAATATAGAGACTGATATACATTTTTTTAAAAGCATTATCAGTATTGAAAATAATGTCTGGTTGTAATTAGTTGTAAAATCAAGATCACTAAAGATAGTTTTCAAGTTATTTACCATTGTCATTTTTAGTATTGTTTAGTATCTGCCATCTTGTACATAAGATTTAAGACTAGTCATAGATTGTTAATAATTTAATGTTTGATATCTCCTCAGGTTCCATTGGCTTCTTTGCATGTTTCTGGTTTGTATCAAAGATCTACAGTGTGGTCAAGGTTGATTAAAAAACTTCATCTTTTGTGATGTTACTGAGAAGTTCAATTAAATAATTATTTCAGGATGAAAATTTAACACAATTAGCACAAGAAATGCTGCAATATCTTGACACCTATATATTGCAGAGGTAGTGAAGCTAGTGATCAATGAATTATTTCATATAAAAATAAATTAGTACCGCTTTTTAGGTTTGTATTTGAATGAAATATTTGTAATTCACACTTTTCAATCATAATTTTATGCTTAGGTTTGTTTATACAAAAACCAGGTCTAGAGATGGGATACTTTTCTATGCAAAAATTATAAGGTAATGCATGTAAATAGTCTGAGTTCATTGTAGAGATTTTTTTCTATTTGTTCTATGTTCTTAGACAGGCTGAAAAAGTATTTGCTGAACAAACATTTGCTATAAAAAAAATTTCCTAACTAAATTATTTATAAGCTATTCAATTAGCTCAATGTTCTCAAGAGTTATATATTACTGGTTTATTTTGAGTTAAATATTATTTTAAAAAGTGTGACATCTGTGCCACAATATTTTAATATTATTTAACTCCTTGTGGGATAGTTTTTTCCTTAACCTTTGTAAATACTCCCAAATGGTTGTACACATTATATATTAAGGGAAATTCCATTTTCTATGTTGAATATTTGACCATGTATGTATTTTATTGCCATAATATTCTGTTTTTATCAAATGTTCATGCATAAACATCATGCAAGGAGGAGGGTTCATCATGACCGTTTTATTTATAGTACAATTGATTCTTTATATTTGGTGAATGACTGAAATCATTTAGAACAATCTGTTTGGGGTACACATTTTCCTCCACATATCTGATGCTTGATGTGTTCGCTTGTGATATCTTTTGTGATGTGTGTTTAAAATACAAAATTTTCATTCATAGTTTGGTACAGATTTATTTTCCAATTGTTCCTATTGCAGTGTCATATTTTTATACATTCATAACTTATTGAATTGTCTATGTCAGAGAATATGTTAAGAGTGAACGTAAAGTGTTTTATACTATTGAATTTGGGAAGTATTAAACTTGGTTCAACTTATGATTTCTTTTACCAAATGAGGGACTAGGGAGGAATGTATTTTTGCAGTGATAGATAAGATTTTGGCTTGACATAAAAATGTATTTGTTCATTACCCACTCATGTTGAATTAAAAACATTTCATCATGATGAGATAATGCAATGATTGCTCAATTATTTTCCTGTACTCATTTGGTAAAACGATGAGTACTATAAATGAAATAGCCAACTATGTTTCTTTAGTGCTTACTACTAAATATTTTCTTGCTTTGTATATCAGAAATATTTATGCTGCTTTGTAGGCTTATTTTACTCTTTCCCAAATCTAATGTCACAATAAAACCAGTTAACTGTATTAAATGTAACTGATGAAAAAAGTTTTAACACCACAAGGTTTCTTTGATGCATATAATTCAAACAACTTTAATTGGACATTGAATCTTAAACAGTGTTCTGTCAACTAATTATATACTCTCCTGGCTGTTGTCAATATCTTACATACATTTGTTTCATTACCTGTTCATTTTTATATTCAAATTAACTTTATGTTCACTCTTCTGTAAAGATAGTACAAGAAAATGTCTGAAACGGTTCTGGAAATCTGTGGGCTTCATTTGTGTTTAAGTTAACAAAGGCCTTACAGTTACGTAACAATTTGACAGCTTTTGTCATTTCACTTTATAACAGTACACTGATGCTGAGAAATTTCTGTTGTTGAAATGTATTCAAAAGATGTCTAGCCATCTAGTTCTACAGTAACAGAGACATGTGGTTAGCACTGATGTGCATCTACAGTTTGCACTAAGATTTGTGTGGCTTTTTTCTTCTAATGTGAGTGAATGAGGGATATCAATAAATTATCAATTTTATAATGGTTGTGTTCTTATTGTGTCAGACATTGAAACCTTAAATTTATAAACCAAGCATGCATGAATGACCTAATAGGTGTCATTTAAATTTTAAAAAGTATATTTTGGTAAATATTCAACTGAGACAAATGTCTATAATCGCAATGGGTTTTTATATGGCAGAGCTCCCATGAACAAACCTGTCAAGTGGGATTAATCTTTACTTTCACCAAATAATTATACTAATTTTGCTTAGCTTATGAATATAAATAAAGCCAAGAAATTGTTAACATAAACATTTTATTTCTTAAAAGAAAATAATGAAATAAAAACAGCTATTGGATGTCCAAGAGGCTTTTCTTCAGCTAGAATTATTCTGTTTCTTCCTAAGGTTAACTCAGCACAAACCCATTACTTTTTACGACCACCTCTCTCCTTCAGTTGAAGCTGAACAGCAGCTCCATTTAAAAAGTTATAAAATGCCAAACTGTTAGAATCTTTAATGAACATGCCCTGAAATATGAAGCAAACATGAGAAACATTAGGCTTGTGAGGTTTTTAAAAAATAAAGTTTCATATTTCTGTCATTTATTAACTGGAGTCAAATGAAGCTCTCCTAATTCTTTGGGATGTATTTTTTGGGTTACGTAATTTAAATTACAAAAAAAAAATGCTAATAAAAATATAATACCAGTATTATGTGAAGAAACAACAAATATTTTAAATAATGACCAACCTCAAACTGTAATTTCTGTTTTCCAGCAGGGATGCCGAGTGCTTCATTTAGTTTTGCCTTCAGCACAGACACCTAAAATTAAAATTTACCAATGAATGCCTTAAATCAGATGTACAATAGGTTAATACAATCTAACACATATTAAAAAGAGACTTACAGAATCTGTAAGAGGCAAGTTGAACTCGAGTTTCTGGCCTTTAAGATTCCATTCAGGCTTGTCTTGAACAGTGGGAACAATAACTTGGATCTTCACATTGCCCTGGAGGCAAAACACAGGATCATTTTTATACAAAAGATTTAATCATCAAATTTAACGCTTTTTAAAATGTTCCTGAAGCAACAAATCCTCTAGCTGTTTCAAACTAGAACTATTAATACAACAAAATTTAAAAAAAAAATCTAATGCAGAAAATGCAATTTGACCAAAGATATGAAATGATAAGAAAAAGAAAACAACCTTGTGAGTCTGTAAAAACACATCTTCTGGGATAAGATTTTCCTCTGTTTTCTGTTTCTTGCTGGGCGGCTCTTCAGATGGCACCACTCCAATACCAGGTGGACGAATGGGAATTTGTGGAGCCATCATTGGTGGCGCTGGCTGCATTCCCATTCCCATTGGAGCCATCATTGGTGGTCGTGCCATACCTGAAGAAACAAAATATAATCATATTTTTGTTTTCTTCTTAAGTGCTCACCTACAAAGTTAATGCTATTGCTAACTCATTATTATTGCATAAATTTTACTTTAAGTCATAAAGTTATAAAATTTATTTACCCATCATCATTGGAGGTCTGGGAGGGATGACCATCATCTGCGGCATTCCCATTGGAGGACCAGCCATGATGGGGCGTGACATCTGAGGGGGCATAGCTGGGGTAGGTCTGATTTGCTGAGGTTGTGATGGTGGGGGTGGTGGTATGAGTGAGCTAGTTACAGCTTGAGGTGGAGGGGGTGGTGGTGCTGATGAGGAAGAGGAAGGAGGTGGGGGTGGCAGAGGAGGAGCAACCTTTGGTACAGATGGTCCAATTTTTTCCTTCTCTTCATCAGGCCTAAAAAGAAAAAATTAATTGTAATGATGTTGTTAACTACCTGCCAAAGCTAGCATTCCATTAGTGATACAATGCATTACATGAGAGCTTTTAACTTTAAAGACAACTGGCTGTTGAACTATGATTTTAAAATTTTAATTTGATTTTTTTCTTCACTTATTATACAAACAATCAAAGACAAATTAAATCTCAAATACTCCACAATCAAAAATAAGTAAACAAACAAAAATACTGCTTCTGAAATGAACAAGACAAAAAACTACCACTCACACTAAGCCTTTGGCTCTGTGTATTGTTGCTATCTGCTCTTCAATGGAGATGTTTTCTCTGGCCAGCTGAGAAACTTTTTCCATGGAGGCTGTGTGACCATCCCACACAACTTTAGTCTCTTTCCTCTCCTCCTCACCAATCTGTAGAGGAAAACAAATCCTCTTAAACTAGTTCTAACAAATTCTCTTATAGTATACACTAGGTCTAGTTTCTAAGTGAATCACACTAACAGGTGACAGTGTTTTAAGACTATCCTGTTGCTGGAGTCAATACCTTTTTACCAATCTGGGTTTCTTCTGTACCAATACCAAAGATATCTGTACGTCTTTCAGCCAACTGTTTCAAGTTAGAGTCAATGGCAGACCCTGGAGCAAAGACTTCCTCTTGGTCAGATTTATCTGCCAGTGAACGCTGCCTGTCTTCCATCCATTTGGGATCCAACAAACCTAAAATGAAATTTTATTTTCAGATGTTTTGTTCAAAATTCCAAATAAAAGTAAGTCCATAACAGTAAATGATCTACAACAAACTCTTCATTGTTGAAACTGTTAATAGAACTGCTCTCACAATTCTTACAATACAGTGATCACTTTTACATTAGGAATTCAACTTACCAATGCGCATATGTTCCTGTACTTTGTGAGCTGGAATTTTCTCTCCAGTGATTGGAGATATCATGAACTGGTCGGAGGTCATCTCTGGGGGTGGAGCTGGTTTGGCTGCAATAAAAAAAAGAGAAATGTAAAGAAAAAATTAAAAACTATAAATGGCAAGATTTCTGTGTAAAATACTCTTTTGAACCTGCCAGAGTAAAGTTAATTTATTCAATCACCACTGAAACAGAAGGGTGTTATGGTTAGTACAGCCCCTAGCTACTTTAACATTCCTTTGGACTATAGTATCTTGTGTAATCAGGTCAGATTATTCCAGAGATTCAAACACAAGTCCCTTATGTTTGTAATCTGGTACTCTACGACTCATCCATTTGGCCCTACTAATGTTACTGCAAATTGTGAACATTATTTAGTGTGTCTCACAGTATACATACCACCAGTACCTTCATACAGGTGCACCACTGAGGCAACATTCAACAATCATTTGATTACCATCCCACAAAGTTGATGGTAAACACATTAAAAAAAACAGTTCAAGCCAAGCCAGACAACTTCTTAATTAAAAGTAATTGAAGTTCTCCTTTCAGACCTAACAATCCCTATAGTAAAGATTTTCTTGACATTAGCATATAAAGGGTGGTGTGGTCAGCACTATGCCTAGGACACCCTAAACTAAGATACAAAGTGTCCCCATTAGAGGTTGGGTCTCACCTTTGGGGTTGTAGTCTCTCTTTATGATCACCTGCTCCGGGGTTGGAGGAAGTGGTGGGGGTGGTGCCTCCTTTGGTGGCGGTGGAGGAGGTGGTGGTGGTGGAGCAAGTCTTCCTCTGCGTGGCTCTTCATCCTCTTCCTCTGATTCTTCTTCAGATTCTTCCATATCCTTTAAAAGCAAACCAATTTTATACGTACAGTAATAATAATTTCTTGACCATATTCTTAAACAATAGACAGTTACATGTTAAAGCTTTTAATGTTGATACATTAACTGTACAAAATATCTTTAGACAGCAAGTGGGAGAAAAAAGTCATTACCTGAGCTACATTCTCAGCCGGAGGCCTGCTGCGTGTTACTTTTTCCTCTTCATCTTCATCTGAGTCTTCATCGTCCTCTTCACCCTCTGATTCTACCTCCATCTCAACAGCATCATCCATCTGAAAATAGAGGAACAATTTGTTCTCTGATTCAAAAGAAAAATTTAACAAAATCATGCTGATTGCAGTGCTTTTTGGTGGTGTAGTCAGAAAATGTATTTCCATAACTGCGCAAGGCGTGCATTAATCAAATCTGATTATATAAAACTTATTGCATCTCTTTACTTATGACTAGATTGAGTAAAACACATCATTCACATGAAATAGTATAAGATGCAAAACTTTAAGCTCCACTATAAATTTCTTTCGGTTTTTTTAATTCTTTACTTTGGTGGCTAAAAAAAATGAACTCATAGAACTTACAGGAATCTCTCCACGTACAAACCGCTCCATTTGCAGTATGCGAGCTCCAACTTCCTCAGGTGTAGTGGGTGGGGGTAGGTTTCCTGAGAGCATAAATGTTGCCAAATAAATAACTGAACAAAATTCTTACATAATACATACACATTTTAAAACTGCTGAACTTCATATGATTAAAATTACCTATTTCTGTTGGCTGGAAGTCTACTGTTTCAACCACAACAAAATCATGCCAGTCAATTTGAGCATAGGCAACTGTGGACAGGTTAAGTTTATTAACATCATTAGCAGTTTAAATTAATACTTATTATACTAATATGGGACAAAGTTAAATTTAAAAAATATCACTGACCATTTTAATAAACATAATACTATTCAGCGTTCAATGAACAAAGGTTTTAAAAAAATAAAGAAATTTAAACTTGTGAATGTCCTTTGTTAAAGAAGTTATTCCCTCCCCCCCACTAAAAAGTAAAGTTAAACAGAAACCTCTTTCTTTCTCCAGTGCTTCTTCATCTTTCTTTTTCTCTCTGTCTTGGTGTTTAGCCCATTCAACTCTGTATTTAACTTGATCTAATATCTATAGAGCAAAAATACACAAAATGGACCCTGCTATAAATGCTAAAACAAAAATTTTTAGAACTTAGAGAACAATTGAACTTGTGTGTGATTAAAATGTACTTACTTCTTTTGGGTGGTTGACTTCTTTGTTTAGCTTTTCTTTTAAGTTTTTAGGGGGGATTAAAATCTGTAAAGTAAATTGTTTACAATTATTGTGAATATAATTAGGAAAAACTAATCCATGTAATTTAAACAAAATTTTTTTTTTTATGAAGTGACTTTTATATCTTTCTATTTAAAAAAAAGTACATTCGCTGTGGATACTCAATAACTGTAAAAAAAAAGGAACTTTATTTTTAATAACCTGTAAATAAAATTTGCAAAATATATTAAAACAGTTTAATGATTATTTCTTTCTCAAACAAATCAACAAACAAGGGAAAGTGTTGAGATGTATACAACGCTAGACAATTACAAAGGATGGAGTGACATTACCTTGGTGTACTGTTCAACCAACTTTGTGAAGTAAGTAAAAAGACTGTGCTGGGGCCTCAAAAAATCAAATAAATAATTCCTCTGCTCTTTCTGCATCACAGTGGTCAAGAACTGGCGTCCGTTACGAGCCACAAATTGAGCTGTGAGTTTTACAACATCTCTGGAAAATTGACACAATAATTAAACCAACTGATGTTGTACAACAGTGCAATTGTTTAAGAATAAACAGATTAAAAGCAAAATTACAATGCTCCATAGAGAATACAGAATATTTTGTGGATAGCATATATTTTCTCTAATGTTTAGTAAACTCTCAGTTACTTACAAGTCATAAGCAGATATGGATGGAGGATCACACATAAACTCATACTCTGGTGGGGGGTCTTTTGGAACAAATGTCTCAACAATTTTTGGCGCCTCCTGTGGTCGCAACACACCCAAATACTGGCTGTGGGCCTGGAAAATTTTAATCCATAATTTAAATTACTTTTATACACTAGCATCAGATAATTTTTAGTACATATTTGAAATTCATAAAAAAACAACAACAATCACATGATTGTGGGATTAACTAGACTGTTACTATATGATAAGCTTTTGGTGTTGTAAGAGTATAGCAATAGCTATAACAAATATCCCACCTTAGGAGCTTGTGGCTCTTGACCTGTAAGAATTAAAAAAAAACAATGGTGTTAATATAAATTTAAAAGTATACATTTTTTATTTTACATAATAATACCTAAAAATGAATTGTTACAATTAAAACTGAGTAAGAATACCTACATTTTGACAATGAAATTTTCTAATAATTTTAATTACCTCTGCCCTCTCTAAACTCTGCAACTTTATGTTGATAGTATCCATGATAAGCATCTGTTGGTTGCAAAAAGTTAAACTTGGGATTGTTCACCTCATTTTGACGAATCCTGTTTTCAAACTCAGGTCCATTGCGGGCAACAAAACTAGCAGTCTTGTCAACAATGTCTTACAAACTTGTTAAAATAAAATAAACTGTGCTACATTCATGTTCATATAAACAATATTACAATCAATATAAACCAAACCTCCCAATGTTTAATAATCATATAAATATGACTTGTGATATATTTTAAGTTTTTGATAAAATTTATAAATCCAGCATGATAAACTGTAAATGTAATCATGATTTACTAGCCTTGGTGTGTGTACATTGTGAATGGAATCCATGCGTTATATAAATAATTCATGAGCAATGTGAGGGTGAAGCTTAATTAAATGTGACATAGTCATAGCATACATTTCTGTATTCTATTAAGGGGGGGGGGTAGCAGTATTAAGATCTTTATGATGTTATTTCAGGGGTAGGTTTCTTGATTTGGGGGTATTATGACTAATATGATGTTATTGAGATAGCTTTTCAAACAACAGTTACTTATAATGCCATAATTAATTTCCTTTAAAAAGGGGTGTTAGATTACTGGTAGTTAGGGGCCTAACAAAATATAAATAATGAAATATGTTGCTCTTTTAAATGCTAAACCTATCCCTAATCCAAGTCCTACAAGTACCTACTGACCATAAAACCTACCTAAATCTGAGATTATAGGGGCCTAATACAACTAACAACCTAACATGCCTTTTTCAGAAGAGTCTATTGGCAGAAATTGGTAATACTGTATTAACAATACTCCAAATTATCATACATTTACTGTAATGTAGAAATTTAAATATGGACAAAACAAGGAGTTACAGTAACATTTCAAAGTTTAAGATAGGCCTACGCATTCAATTCATTACTCATGCATTGGAAGTCTGTTCCACCACAATTCACATCTCTCAAGGAATAACTTACATTGGCAATATCATCTTATTTACATTTGATGTGATAATCTATTTTCAAAATAATAACTGGATCGAGATTAAATAGTTAACAAATAGTCACTGGATCAACTTGGTAGCACTTGTATTAAACTTCAGTGTAGAAAAGTTATCGACAATTGGTCATCTTCTTCGCATGGATTTTTATACCGATTTTCAAAAAACAAATGATTATTTTAAAAGGATACTCCGCACTTCAGGGGGTGGATAAATTATACCAACAGCTGATTTTGTTGCTGGTACTTCTTCTGTGGGCACTTTTCCATCTTCAATAGGAGTTTGAGGTGCATCTATCGAAGGCATTTCTCATATTTTTGTTATGCCTAGTCTAGATTTTTTCCTATGAAATTTGAACGGTCTAGATACCAGAAAACAACATATCACACTAGATCTAGAATCTAGGCTGTTCCCGAAAGAAGAAATATATCTAATTGAGTAAAAAAAAAAACACTATTAGGCCTATTGTGTAGCTATATAGTATAGTGCTATGTTATAAATATAAAATCTATATAGATCTAGCAGCGGCTCCCATGAAAACCAAAAGAATGTAACATCTCCCTTAAAATCACCCCAAAATATTTCCTTTCCATCTCCTCTAGTACAATATATACTATATACCATACTCATACTTCTTTCCTAAATTACTATAATAATTAGTGGTATAACCAGGGCTGTAGATGGAGGTGTCAAATGTTATACCACCCCCCCCCCCCCATTCACACGGATCCCAAAAGAAAGCCCTCTTAATCTTATGTAAGCTACAACTAAAATCCGGTCCCTTAATTTCAAATTTCGAATCAATAAAAACAACATTTTTTTTCTCTCATTGAAGTCGTTAATGATATAATGTTATTTTGGAAAATAATTAGACACAAATTCTCAACTTTTCTATCCTCTTAGTCTTAGACTCTAACAAAGATTAGATTAGATGGAAGATAAAAGTGTCGACCACTCGTCTGAAAACCATGGTACTCTACTAGATAGAACTCAAGAGCAATAAATAAAATGTCTTAAATACGGTATTTTGCGGTTTAATTGTGATACAAGCAACCCATCTCCAAAATAAATATTACTAAAATGATTCTTGTATTGTTTATTATATTTCAACGCAGATTTTTAATTTGTAAAATATGAACAGTCGCGGTACACAAAAAGTGTTACATAGACTACATTCTTTTGGTATATAGTCTTACCTTAGCAGTACAAAATAAATGTTTGGAGATAAATATTCAATCTTGTTTGTGGGGTGTTGTTAAAAAAATTTTCCCCTTTGTATACATTTGTAAAGTATTTTATTTTACACCTTCTGAATTATTTATTCATTATCAATGACTATCTTTAACTTTTATCTTTTCGATCGCAATGGAACATGTTTGTATTATACAGAATGGAATAGAAAAAAACAGTTAACAATGAGTAAGGATGAGGTATGTAAATTGAAAATTCTAAATTAAAATTACTAAAATTATAAACTAAAATTAAATTAGTTAAAATTAGTATTGGAGTATGTATTGGCTTAGTCTAGGTTGTAGCATTCAAAATTAATTTTTGAGTATTTAATCTTAAAATCATATGAGTTAGTTAGAGGAAGGATTAAGAATTCCATTGGTACCAAATTTATATTTCTAGCTTCAACAGGAGAGGAGAAATAATTTTTTTTCTGTTTAAAATGTATGGTCTTATATATAATCTCTGTAAAAAATGAAACTAGTGGGAAACAAAAATGAAAATTTTATAAAATATGTTTGCAAAAATTTTTTGAATTCTAATGATAAATTATGAATCAGGGGTGTTTCCTTTATGTAAATTTGCATTAATAATTGTGCAGGCTTGTTTCTGTTTGATGTTATGCTTTATTTTTAAAAATGTACATTTTTACTATGACTAATTATATAGGAAAAAACAGCCGATCCTACACTATTCTCAACGAGACTGTCGTTGAGTGGCTTATCAACAGTGTCGGTATATAATAACGCTATAGATTTTTTCTCATTTGATTCTGTCGTTGAGACTCTAATTATAGTTATAAACTGTAAAAACTAGCTAACGGAATAAAACCATTTCGATTAATTAATCACTTAAAATATTTAATATAAGAAAAATTAAACAACCATTCATTTTACAGAGCTAATAATAATTAATATTATAAAAAATGTATCTTCTGTCTTTAAAATTGAAAATTAAATTATTTTTAGCAATATAAATTAATACAGTGGATTGCTGAATTTAATTGTGATCATAGTTATGATTAATTTTAGAGATTGTATGATTAATTTATACTTATACACAATTTAGAATTACAGAATATTGATTATTCGGTATAGAAAACATTAGGGTAGAGATTACTAAACGATATAATATAGGATTATGTAATATAGAATATATTAGTATATTATTATAGAATCTAGGCTATACAACAAGTAATACATGATATGATTGCAAAATAGAAAAAATACATAATATAAAGGGGCAAAGGCCCATTTTTTAATCGAATTTAAGACTCATTTCGTTTACAATATGTTATTACAAATATAAAATTGCAGAATACGTAATAGCTATTTTTATCGAATTTATACATAGAATGTGCTATATAATCTTAAGAACATGATTATGTAGTGGCGTAGGTACAAGGTGTGCCAAGGGGCTATACCCCCCCCGATATATATATATATATATATATATATATATATATATATATATATATATATATATATATATATATACATATACATATTTACTGTACTCAAGTAGTACCCCTAACCAGAGGCGTCACAAGGTTGGGGGGGGGGGGGGCGGGGCTGAGGACTGCGCAATGTGGCAAAATTTCGGGGGTGACACCATGGCGAAAAATACCAAAATATATAGAAGAAGTATGCATTTTGACAGTTCAATAAATGACTAATGAGAGTTAACTGTACTAATAACTGACTGCAGATAAAAAAATATACAATTAACTGTGCACGTTTAAAAACTATCATTCAGGGGGGGGGGGGGGGTGAGGGGAGATGACACAAACTGCAAAATGTACAGGTGAATACATGCTTGTTGAATTTTTGGATAACAGATTTGCTAGGCGACGACCGGAGAGAGGCTGATACCAAAATCTAATAATTTACGATGAAAACGATGCTTTTTTTCACATGAATTAATAGGTGGATTATGTGCAAAATTTGACGCCATTGGGGAAAATGGGAAGTCACCAAATGTAGCTATAAATATATATATATATATATATATATATATATATATATATATATATATATATATATATATATATATATATATATATATATATATATATATATATATGCATATGTATATATATATATGCATATGTATATATATATATATATATATATATATATATATATATATATATATATATATATATATATATATATATATATATATATATATATATATATATATATATATATATATATATATATATATATATATATATATATATATATATGCTTATGTAGAATTATTTATATTTCTCTCTATGTATATATATATAATGAAGTTTTGCTTGTTTGTTTGTGGGTTTGTTTATGTTCTCTATGCAGCACTACACCTTTCATCCTATGGCCATGCAACTTAAGTTAAGAATACCACTGGATATATTTCACAAGCACGGTGCCCCAGCAGGGCGCGAATCGATTCTATATATAGATCCCTATATAGGGTATATATACGTAAAAGTAGATTGCGGTTTAATCCCGTTCATCCGCTCGCCATAAAACTTCAGGGGAGGTTATTTTTTTTTTTATTTTAACAGGGCGGCGCTTCTGGAGGGTGCAATTTTTCTCTACACAGTTTGTAAAAAACAAAACGGATGCTGTTTGACATCGTTTATCTGAGTGCCGTTAAACTTTCGAGAGTTAATGAAAACACTCACGAGAAGGTTTCTGCGAAAACAAAAATTAAAATTTATTATGGGCATTTCCCTGGAGGGTGCGATTTTTGTTAATAAACGGCTTGGCGCCTGAAAATCCAGGGCGGCGATATTAAAACTGCATGGGGGCTAAGGTAAAAAAGCAACAACAGACGCAGCCGCCGGCGCCCCGGATATTACGTAACCCGAAGCGCCCCGTGCTACCATGTGAACATTATGACGCCGACGTTCGTTTTTTTTTTAAATTTATACACTAAAGACACGATGGGCAACAATAATTTTTGACTATATGGAATCAGGCGCGTCTGCCGGCTCCCCGGCAGGAAGCGATTTGGCGCCCTGAGATATCCTAAGGTTGTGTTAAAGAGCACTCTACAATATTGACCCTGTGGCACACGACATTCGATGACAATTCGTTTGACCCGATGCGCCACTGGTTTCGGGAGGAACACTATGAGTTTTAAAAGAGCGCACTACAGTAGGGAAATTTTTTGTCTACTGCACCACTGGCGTGTGGTCTAGCGCCCCTGTGTGGGTCCCTCATAAACACTATTGCGCCTACGTTCGTTTTAAAGAGTGCGATACATTATGGATACAATGGGCTACTGTGTGCGGTAGAATTTGCGCCTCAACAACTATGATGAAAGCAATATAACACCGGCTTTGATTACATTTAAATTGTTTAGATTTAGAAATCAATGTCAAGCGTAAAAAAATACGTGATTGCTAATGTAATTATGGAATCCTCTTAAAATATTGCGTCAGTCTGTCTTCTGAGACCGCAGAAACGCGCGGGACGGGTACGCTGGTTTAATATATATTTCTTCTATATACATAATTCTCTTCATGGATACCATAGAAAACACCAAGCTGTAAGCGCCCCTAGCAGCCCCCTCTCTTTCTCTCTATCCCTACCACCCCCATCCCTACATGCTCTGGTGAGCTGTGGTTCAAGCTAAATGTTTACAATCGTAGAGCCGGGTTTAGTGACAGCTATTAGGGGCAGATAATTTAGTTTGAAACGATTTTAAACTTAGTGGAGGTAACTCAGAGGGGGCTGCTTTCACGAGGAGGGGGGGGGGGTAGGATTTTTGGGAAAGGAGGGTGGGGAGGGGGGGGGGGGGTTATTGTCCTTAACGAGCTACTGATAGTGTTTTAAAGCAAATATTTTCAGTGGCAGCATTGTTACTGTCAAATTCACAAATTATGAATTACTGAAAAGTAGAAAATGAAACAACAAAATAGCGGCGTATGATAGCGGCTCGTAAAATATAAAACACAATGTAAATACCTTTGTTATACCTACGGAAAATAATAATATGTAACATGGATTCCTGAAATTTTGCGCTGCTTTAATTTTTAACGTTGGGATCCTCCATCAACATCCATACTCTCCTTTAGTATGTTCAGGCTTTTTTTTTCATTTATGGGAAGGGATGATCGGAAAGTGTGACGACACATTTTTGCTTTCATCCGTTATTTCGGGCTTTAAAAGATTGCTTTTGGTATTAATTCATTTATTAACTCAATGTTTATCGAGGTCAGTACATATTATAATAAGCCGGGAGTGATCTCCCCTAAACTTTCTCGAATATTCTAATATAACACTACGGGGAATGGCAACTCGGGATATAGACATGATTTTTAATCCATTTTAAATACTTAAACTTTTTAAAATAGAATAAAACCTCGTAGAAAAAAGAATTGCACACCAAGTGAACGTCAAATAAAGATGTGCATAATAGTGCGCAACATTATTACTACTTTATAAATGTACGTGCGTTTTTTGAGAAATCGGAAATAGCGTAAATTAGTACTTCCTGTCAACAGAAATTACTCAAAATTTGACAGAAGGTAGAGAATTAGATCTTTTACTTACATGTAAAATTTCATTTATCTATCTGCAATAGTACTCAAGTTATAGGCTTTTGAAAAATTCAAAGTAGAAAAAGTACCACTTTCGGTTATCGGAAATCACTCAAAAGTTTATACGGATCTACGATTTTGATAAAATACTTATATATGAAATTTCATCAACCTAGCTGTAACGGTACTCAAGTAATCGTGTTTACACACAGACACACACAGACACAGACATACGGACAAGATTGCAAAATTATGTTTTTCCGTTTCAGTGAGGTGTAAAACGTCGAGATTTGTAAAAAATCTCGATTTTTTTTTTGCACGATTACAAGACTTTCTCTATACTTCGTATATACGAGAAAGTAAAAATGCAGTTTCAGGGGAACGGCGAAGGGGGTTATGTGTTGAGGTGTAGTGTTTTTAAAGAGAGTGGTGTGGGGGGGGGGGGAGCGAAGATCTGGCTTTTTGTGAAAATTTGATACAATTAGAGAAGGGGGTTTGGTGCAAAATCGTCTGAAGAGTGAGTCGTGGTTAATGGGTGACCACTTTATGATTGTATATTGACGTCACCATCATTTTGGGCGGTGGCTTTATGTGACGATATGTAACGAGAAAAAAGAGGGTTGAGTTAATGGCGTAGCATTTATTTTGCATTTTTTAAGGATA